CTACAAGACCAGGGGTCATAATTGGGGCGAGTCTTGGATTCGAACTCACGACGTGCGGAGCAGGGAACGACAACTGGACACGACTCTGACTTCTCGGCCTCCCGTATCTGTATCAGACAACCGATACTGGTCAGTGTTTGTACTCTATGATTTCAAGAGTTGCGGTACACTGAACAAGCATGTCAAGTTTTGAAAAGGCGTGAAAAGTATTTGCATAAACTTCAAATACTGTTGTTGGGCTCCGGGTGGCCTTGTGGGTAAAGCGTTTGCTTGTTACGACTAAGGCCCGGGTTCGATTCCCCACGTGAGTACCATGTGTGAAACCCATTTCTGGTGTCCCGCCGCCGTGATATGAATAAATATTGCTAAAAGTGGCGTAAAGTCATACTTGTTCTAAGTACTGTTGTGGATTTGTTTAGCAAAGTCTACTAGTGTGTTGGATATGACCGAAATGTTACTACTAAAAGCATAGTCGCAAAATCAGAATGGTTATGTAAAGCATATTCAATGAATAATTAATATTAGGACATGAGTGAGTGAGTTGATTTTAACGCCGCTTTGAACAGTATCCCCATTATATGACGACGTGTCAACTTAATGTGTGAAGAAAGCCCGAAGTGACGCAGGTCGCAGATGTTTACCACACTGGTTAAACCCAAGAACACGGGTAATGTGCTGACAGACCTAGAAACAGTAGCATCGCGTAATGGGACTCGAACCCAAAATTATACTTTTCCGTCGTGTCCATGGGACGCCAATCTCATTAAAATGAAGGGACGCAAAACGCTGCACAGCGAATTTCAGTGCCTAAGACGACTGATGATGATACTAATGACGACATTATTTTAAATGACATTACTCATATCATTGTTTTTGTGTTCATTTCGCATCGTTGCAGTCAAAACGGGGAACTGGCCAAATTTGCAAATCTTGCTTCTGAAATAAAACCCGTAAAACAGCAGGGGATCATGCAATATACAACCACCCATGTCGGGTTAACAGGATTTGACCGTAAATGTTAATACTAAGTATGAGAATTTAAGATAAGTGTTGACGACAAACATCCTATACAAGATTGTTTCTGTATGTAAAACTTAACACGAAACCACATCCTATATATAGTTTGCACGTGCCTCACGCAGTAGCGCCACGCATGTGGGTAGGGTGTGAATTCCTGACTTTGACACTTTCAAGGAAGGTCAATTAATCTCTGTGGACCATTATGTCTGTCAGTCTCATGTATTCTGCTTATCGTGCAGTTGTGATTTACTTGATAAAAAAACAAAATTGTTTGTGTATGAACAAGCGATGCTGCGTCTGCAACGCGCGGAGCGTCTACGGTCTATCAATGGACATGCTGGAAACTGGCTGAAGTCCCCGTTTCACAGGTCACCGACAAGAGGATCAGAAAGATTGATCCGAAGCCAGGCTCTACGACATCAACCTCAAACGGCGAATCAAATTGCTGCAAACTTTCATCAGGCTACTAGAGTACGAGTTAAGGGTCAAACGATAGGAATCTTCTACATGCAGCTCACCTCCATGCTCGACGGTCACGTGTCGCCCCTTACAAATCGTCATATTGCCAACAGACGTCAACGGTCAACTCAACCTCGAAACTTGGGTAATCGTCGCTGGTCACGTGTCATGTTTTCAGATGAGTCCCGAATCACTTTGCACTTCCTTGACTGGCGTGGTCGTGCCTGGCGACGTCGAAGTGAACCTCAAGCAAACGTCAACCTGAGACCTCATGACAGATTTGGCGGTGGATCTGTTTTAGTGTGGGGTGGCATCACTATGACTGACTGAACCCCACTCTATAGTGTGCAAGGAAGGGTTACTGGCCACTACTATTGGGACAAGACGATGACACCCTTTGCTGTTGCGTTTGGAAGTCGTGTAGCTCGACGTTTTGTCTTTCAGGACGACAACGCCCGTGCTCACCGTGTACAGAATCGTCAATGCTCACCTCCTGCAGTAAAACATCCATGGAATGTCATGGCCAGCAATGAACCCAGACCTTTCTCCATGCAACACGTCTCGGACATGATAGGGAGACGTGTGCGTTAACGTCATAGGCCGCCGACCACGTTGGCTGAACGTGGCCAGACGCTGCAAAAAGAATGGGACCGACTTCCTCAAATCGCCATTGGGAGACACTCACGCCGTATGCCTCGTCGAGTGAATGGATGTTTGACATATTGTGTCGGTCTTACGCACTACTGATCCAAAAACGTCAACTTTGAAATTCCCCATCTTAAATTAACCCTATCGTCCTTCAAGATCGTTGGCGGTCATTGCATCTACTGTTATACACCAATAGCGATTGTAATGTGTTCCCAATTCGTTCATTATTGTCATACAACTATTACAAGAAACTAATATCTCTTACAATTTTGGAAATTTTAAGTTATTTCCGCGTATCCCCTACGCTTTCTACGGGTATAGATATGTCGTCAGCATCCCTATTATCGCTGTTATTAACTTTCCCTACTCTTTTTAGTATTAGTACTTAGTCAGTTGGGTTAAATCCCACTTGGAACGGTATTCCAGTTATATCAAGGCATATTAGCTTATTGTGAGAGGAAACCCCGGGGTGATGCAGGTCTCAGACGTTTACCACGAGTATGGTGCTGACAAACCTAGAAACATAATCGGGGCGAACCGGGATTCGAACCCACAATCATAGGTTTCTCGCGTCTGACGAGTGGGCCAGCCATGTTCCAGTGGTTTTTGTTTGTTGTTTAACGCCGCTCTCAGCAATATTTCAGCCATATGACGGCGGTCTGTAAATAATGGAGTCATAAGCATCGATCCACCCAATGCGGATACGATGACATGCATCAACCAAGTCAGCGAGCCTGACCACCCGATCCCGTTAGTCGCCTCTAACGAAAAGCATAGGACTTCGCCTTTTACGTCCAGTAGTAGTAGTAGTAGTAGTAGTAGTAGTAGTAGTAGTAGTAGTAGTAGTAGTGTAGTGTGAATGTTGTTATTAGATAATTACGTCGCCTCTTACGACGAGCATAGGACTTCGCCTTTTTACGTCCAGTAGTAGTAGTAGAAGCAGCAGTAGCAGTGTGACTGTTGTTATTAGATAATTATGTTGCCATGTATGTGTTTCTATGCTGACAACGTTTCATCAATATTCAATTTTTATATTTTATCGCTTATGAAATGTAATTGTTCCATGTACACCATTGTCCGTTGAGCATTGTGGGTTAAAAGTTGTTTGAATTTACACCAAAAGCCACAATATATATGATACTGTATACAGAATTACAATAAACTAAAACTAAAGTGTCTACGTCCACTTTAATATTATACTGTTCGTGTTTGTGCTCACGTTGAATGCTACTATTATGTGAACCAGGTGGTATATCTCACTGTAACTAGGCAGGTCGACATCTATTTCAGCTGCTAACGGATATTTCTGTTATTGAACATTGCCTTATACTAAATAAATGAAGCCTTATCCATTTGTGGTCTTATGAACAAATAACGGGAAAAGATATGACTTAGGAATAAGAAACCACCCTGTTTCGAAATTAAACGAGCTAAGGGATACAAAAAAAACCATTCGCTACCAACTCGTCAGATTCTATGTCAAGCCTACGTACGTACTCTTCTTTCAGGGGGGTATGGGTGGCCCAGTCATCAAAAGAAGTTGGACCGACTTTCCTGTTCACACGATGTAATGTGTAGCATGCACCAAATTGTATACAACTTGTTGTACCGTGTGGATGTCCTTTAAGGCTGCAATTTGCTTTGCAGAGTTACGTCCCTTGGACACACAAGAAACCTGTGATTGTGGGTTCGAATCCTGGTTCGCCCCGATCATGTTTCTAGGTTTATCAGCCCCATACCCGTGCTCGTGTGTTTCACCAAAGTGGTAAACGTATAAGACCCGCATCGTGTCGGGCTTCCCACATAAAGCTGACACGCCATGATAAAACTGGAATATTGTTCAAAGCAGCGTCACACGTACCCAACCAACTCACTGTTCTTTCAGTGGTTGTTTAATTGTTCATTTCACTATTCTACTATTTCAGTACAACATATATTTTGCCTTTTTTGTCTTTATTGAAGCATTGGTTGTCCTGGTATATTGCAAAAAACAAATGCGAGTATTTTTTTTAAAAGATGGACTGAAATATGAACACAATTAATATATTAATTGTACATAGTGTTTAAAAGGTACATCGCGTAAATATATATTGTTTTAAAGCTGATAATTATTTCAATTACTTCAGAAGATCTATATATTTGTCTACTCGTGGGATATTATCAAAATGAATATAAAACTGAACATAGTTTGTGAAGTCGAGTCGAGCTATTGCTCAATGGAATGTCGCAGTCAAGTGAGACGTTTCTTGAATGTAAGCAAACGCGCGTGTGCGTGTGAAGATATCATCGTACGTGGTCCTCCATGGCCAAGTAACAACCGCACTGCATACAACAAAATTTTGTTATTCATATAAGTTGTGGCATGGAAATGACAATCTATATTTCCCATTTTTTTCTAAACGGTCCTACTCTGTCGCAATAAATACACTCGGGATCATATTTATGGCCATTTTAAAAGTTCTCCTGGTGCACATTCCGATTGGATGTAGGGTACAGTAAAATGCGAGCGTTGACAAATGGAAACTAACAGATTAGACATGACACAAGTGATCCGATACTACAGGCCGGGTGACGAATGAATGTACCGCGATTTGAAATTACGCGTTTCCATCAGGATCATTAGTGAGTTGTCATGCATTTTGAGTCTGGATCGGAGGTTAGGCTTCGACACCAGTGCCTCGAGTCCGAATTTCCTATCTTCCCTTTTTACTACTATTTTTCGTCGAAATGAACTTCCGATGCATTTTCCCGTTCACTTCGTAAATAAAACAAAAAATCCGTATTGAACATTTACATCACCTTTTTCAGGAAACCGGTTTCACAACCAGCCCCGGTTGTTAGAGTAACCTCCCTTTGGCAGCAGACATAATCAGCGCCATCTAGACTATCACCACGTCACTTTCGAGGACGAAATAATGTGCAACATGGATTGATATTGTCAATAAGCATGTGTGTCCTATTGACAGTCACTGCGCAGACTGGATAGGCAAATATGACAGCAATGGTCCTATAAGATGTCGCCAACATAACCGCTGTCAGTTCGAAGATATTATTCAACGAAATTATCAAAGTGAACCAGTCAGCCATTTTTGTTTGATCAACCAATTATTTCTTGTTGATCATTTCTGATAGCGACATCTCAACTGTGATCGTCTCAGCAAGTCACACAGGTACTCATATTTTACCTGATTTGTGTATCGTTATCTGTTTGGTTTCATCGGATAAGGACAAACGTTAGTATTGTGGTTTTGGGGCTTGACATGTTTTACAAAATGTGACAGTCTTTGGCAAATGGGCCATTTGGTGACATGACGTTGTCTTATTAAGCCAGTCTAGTTAACGTCGACAGTATTTTACGCATGTGTTCTTGTTGATACTGTCAAAATAATTACCACACAATAAGTGATAATCAATTTTTGACAAAAACACAAATCGCAATTTGTTCTTGTGCCTCTAGGTAGCTAAAAAGGCATCATAGCTCAGTTGATTTGACAGTGTATTGTTGAATCCCGTTTAATGTGACAATGATGGGCCTTGTTTCAGAAACATAGGAACACTGCATCCAACAATGTGAAATTGAGGACTGTGCATAAATTTAAGGTGTCAATGATCTGGTCCCTGGCCTTCTAATTTATCTAATGCACTGTTTTGATTGTCATTTACACAATATCTGTAACTGTTGTCAGTTTCAATTAAAGCCAGATCTATCTTAACCATGTTAGCAACTGTAGTAGGGGGCATGTCTTATTATGTATACTGTTTTGTAACTAAATGTTTATTAACGGAAATAAACAGCTCGATTGCATAGCGACCATCATGACCATTGCACACATCTGCAAGATAATATTCTGATTACTTGGCCACCATGGCTACCAGACATTATTATTGTGTGAAGAGAATAAATGCCAAATTATATCTTTTTGCAGGTAATACTCAAGTTTTTCATATAGCTTATGTAATGATTAGTAGGTACTAAGATAGAAATACAAGTTTATTTTGTGAAGTTAAACATGAATAATTTGTCATCTCTCTCAACATGTTTAAACAGTTGACCTGCAGGATGAGTCCACCAAATGGCATCTACATTATCCAGGGGGAGATCTCCCTGGTTGTCACGGCAATGAGGAGGACATCTCGATGGGCAACACATACACATCATGTAAGCAAACTGTTGTCATCATGGCCTTCAAGGCTCGTGACCTTCTCTTCACTCTTAGACATGCATTCTGCCATGCTTTAGAATAGTATCAGTTCCACCTTGTGTCAAAATTATATTCTTTGCCTTTCATTTATATACATGATATATTGCGTACATGTTTAATTTATGTTACATTAAGCAAAAAAAAAGTGCTCTTTGTGCTACACAATATCCCAGGCCGAAAGACCTATTATAACCATGATGATGCATCTTGACCAACATTCTTAGATATCTTGCCTTTGTAACAACAAATATGGCAAAAATAGCGGGAACAGACCACTGAAGACTCCACTGATTGTCGAAGGAACATGTTTTTTATTTATAAGTTAAATGCCTTATTCACCATGTTGAAAGTTCTGATTTATCCAAAGCAACTTTAACCTGTTAACCTAGTCCTTGTAGCTCAAAATTACAATAACGATTTAGCAATAAACTCAGAAAAGGCAGGTAGTGTCAAGTTGATATTCAGATACAACCTCAAAATATTATGTGTACATTCTGATCATGATTATGGATGGTTGGGTTTTTTAAATAATAATTGTGTTTACCAGTAATACAAAAATAAATAATTGTTTCTAAACACTATTGGTATTCCTTGGTTGTATTTAACATTTATTAATTCAGTTAAACCTTCATGTTCGCTCTCAGTTTGGCCACTGAAGTGATTTTACAAAGAGCTTCAGCCTGTTGCTTCGCTATCCCATTCATAGGGAGATTGCCGTCAGTTACCTTTCCATGCAACATTTGACCAGTTAGTGTTTAATATTGATCATCCTGGCCTTCACTGAAATTGGGCATGAACATGATGAACTTAGGAATTTTCATATATACATGTATATTCAATTTCAAACATGTCATATTGCACAATAACAGCTTTGGCTAGTGTTTGACAAGTTTGTTTTTGTTTCTAGAGCATCGTTACATGGACAAATACAATGCAGATATTTCCACATCTGTACATTCAAACATTCACACATGGATATTAATACCCATGGGGTAGAATATGTCTACAGCAACCCATGATTTCCCCATGATTTCCGTAAAAGGCGACTATGCTTGTGATAAGAGGTGACTAACAGGATCGTGTGGTCAGGCTCACTGACTTGGTTGATGCATGTCATCGTATCCCAATTGAGTAGATCAATGCTCATAACAATGCATAATGTCAATCACTGGATTGTCTGGTCCAGATTCAATTTTTACAGACTGCTGTCATATAGCTGGAATATTGCTGAGTGTGGCGTTATACAACAAACAAACAAAAATGGATATATTACGAGAGTGTCAGGCACAGCATACATCATGTACATTACTAAAAGACAGTTCCATGGCAACATTTTATTATTGCCAGTTTCTTTTTCAACGTGTTCAAAAGTGACTGCAAGAGGACAAATTTGTAGTTTAATCTCTTTATCATGTTTATAGGATAATAACCATGATAATTATATAACAATTTAACAAATACTTTTTATCATATTTATATGATTGCAACCAAATTGGACACAGCTTTTGTGTGATTTATATTAATTTTTCCCTTCGCTTCCTATTCATGCTAAGCAGACTGGGGGCATGGTTGTCAGTCCAGAGCAAGTCCTCATTACAAAATATGATGCAGTTTGATATTGTGTGTTGTATAAATTGTGAATTTGTAATTGCAGCAGGATGAAGACAATGATCCTCTGTTTGGCAGCTTCTCACAGCTTAAGGATGTTCTCAACAACATTGCAGGTACGTGTAATCTCAACAGTGTTCCTAGTAATGTGTGGGCAGCGCGTCACTGCATGTTGTTAATTCATGTTAGGTATAGTGTAATTTAGATCATTACCTCAACATTTGAAGTTATTTCATTGGTTCATGTAACTCATTGTTTTGAATATGTCTAGAAAGTATTCCTCCACATGAGGAATAATCAGTAGGTTTTTTTTCTTTCAAGTATCGTAATACACAGTGTATACGCTTGGGTTTATCTTGAAATCTCAATTGTTGATGGTCGTCCCCAGATGTCAGTGTTTCCCAAATGGAACATTTCCAATTCAGGTGTTTGTTACGGATATTATCTTTATTATTGTTAATGTTTTAACATTGCAAAGGTGACTAGTATACCGAGAACATGTTCTGTAAAGAGACAAATACTTTAATTCTTGGTTTTACAATATTGCGTAAAATGCAATCTTAAACTCTCTCTTTACCACATTTGCCTGTCACAGGCACTTAGTTTATAAGCCTAGATGAATCTCTGGTGTGAGTCTTGTTTGTACCAACTCACTGGGTATGTATTTTTCTTGTAGATTTAGATGAGCTTGAGCCCAATGTTTTCCTGAGCCCATTTCTTGAGGTTATTCGATCTGAGGATACAACTGGGCCCATTACAGGACTTGCTCTCACCTCCGTCAACAAATTTCTCTCCTATGGCTTGGTTGGTGAGTAGACCAGTACCTCATTGGCATGTTTTAGGAAATGTCTGTTTAATTTATTTAATTATGCTTTTGTCATGTGAGCAGTGGGCTAGCCTAGTAGTTAAAGCGATTGCTTGTCACGCCGAAAGACATAGGTTTGTTTCCCCATAATGGTCCAATGTGTGAATCTCATTTCTGGTATCCTCGCCATGATATTGCTTGGAATTTTGCTAAAAACGGAATAAAACCGTACTCACTCACTAAATTTTACCAAGTTTATGATTTTTGACAATTCCAGATCTACAAATAAACTGCCTTTTTGCGTAAAATACCCCCCCAAAGCTTTTCAAAACGCAATAACTTTCAATTAACTTGCGTATAGAAACACATGCATTAAATGAAAAACTCAATTGTTCGAAAACAGCACACGTAAATACCCGAAGAAGCTTTTTCGGCTAATTTACTTTCCAAGTCAAGCCTATTGTTAGAACCGTTATTTACATCTTAAACATTATTTCATTATTTTTTTTAAGTCTCAAAATGCTTACTCATTTTTGGAAAAACCTGATAGAGTGATGAATAGATGAGTGAAAAAATATTGGTTAAACAATGAAAAATGTAATAACCCAATTAAGATAGAAACCTTTGAGTAAAAACTCAGTGGCTCAAAAAGTTATCTGGAGCTCTGAATTCTTTGTGCAGAGTTGCATCCCTTGGGCATGCCAGACAACTATGACTGTGGGTTGGAATCCTGGTTTGCCCCAATCATTTTTTTAGGTTTGTCAGCACCATACCTGTGCTTGTGGGTTTCACCAAAGTGGTAAACATCCGAGACCTGCATCACTTCTGGGCTATCCTCCCACTTTATGCTGACAGTGACATGCCCTGATATAACTGGAATACTGTTAAAATGTTTTAACCCAGAGCTTCCCTCAAACCAGATTACTGACTGTCATGACTGTAGGATTTTTGAGGTGGTAACAGTAGTACAGTTGTTCTGTTCTCTATGCTCACCAGTATTAAAGGATGATAAGGGATTAGGTGGTCAAAATGGTTGCTAGGTAGTAATAGGAGGGTATGACCACCTCTTTCCTCTTTCACTTTTGTTTTCAGCGTGTACCAGGCTTGATTACTTGATTAAACATGTTAAACTGAAGGATGTGCCTTGGTAACAGACACTTCTTCTGACTTGAACTGGCTGACAGGTATTGTTTATGAAATGTACATCATGTCATTTTTTTTAGTTCCAACTCGAGAGTCTGCCTCAGCTGCCATTGAGAATATAGCTGATGCTGTTACCCATGCCAGATTTGTCGGCACCGACCCTTCATCAGATGAAGTTGTCCTCATGAGGATATTATATGTAAGTTCCTGCTTCAGTCGACGGTATGGGTGGCCAAGTGCTCTTCAGACTTTATTTTGCTGGTTTTGAGTTCAAATCCCAGAGTGGCCTTGGTAGCCCAGTGGTCTTCAGGTACTGCTTTTGTCTGTTGTGGGTTCAAGTCCCGTATTATGATCCTTGATCTGTCTGTCCAATGCCCATTATTTGTTAGGTTGAAGTACTTCCTCCAAGGTGGTGAACATCACTTTGAGCTTTCCTCCCTCATTATCCTGACAAGATGTGATATAACTGAAAAACTGTTCAAAGCAGCATAAACCTAACTCAGAAAATGAATCTTTTGTAACATATTGTCTCCAAGTGTCAGACTGCAGATTGACTAGGTTGACTAGAAGAATATCAAAATGGCCTCAGTTTGCCAATCACCTTATTTGAAGTTACAATAGGTCCTTATCTTTGGTTTGTTTGGTCCAACTGGATTATTTGAGTTACAGGCTGCCATCATATATCTGGAATATTGCTGTGTGCAGCTTTAAGCTAAAAATCCAACAGCCAAAAAACATATTTAAAAATGCAAACTGACGGCCAAGCCGATTTGTCTCTGAATGAGTTGCTGTAACAAACATTTGTCAGGTTATAGCAGTGTTATATTATACCTTTGGATACCTTGTGTTTGGAATCTAATGCCAACTCTCCATCTGCCAGGTGTTGAGGACTCTGCTGCTGTGTCCGGCTGGTGTCCTACTCACTAACGAGTCTGTGTGCGAGATCATGCAGTCTTGTTTCCGGATCTGCTTCGAGATGAGACTCAGTGGTAAGTCATGGTTCTCTCATTTTTGTATGATCGTGTATAATCTTGAGCCTTACTATCAAAGAAGCGACCCGTGAAGATCCCGGTAGAGAATACTTCTTCAGCAACCCGTGCTTGCCATGACAGGCGACTATGCTTGTCATAAGAGGCGACTAACGGGTTTGGGTGGTGAGACTTTCTGACGAGGTTGATGCATGTCATCTTTTCCCAATTACGTAGATCAATGCTCATGTCAATCACTGGATTGTCTGGTCCAGTCTCGATTATTTACCAACCACCGTCATATTGCTGGAGTGTGGCGTTAAACAACAAACCAACCCAATTGCGTAGATCGATGCTCATGATGTCAATCACTGGATTGTCTGGTCCAAACTCGATTGTTTACAGACCACCGTAATATAGCTGAATATTGCTGTGTGTGGCGTTAAACAATAAGCAAACAAACAAATCAAAGCAGTTTTGTTTGTTGGGAATAACTTAAGTTTGTCCACTGTATTTTTAATGATAAAATTTTGTTCACCAGTGCCATGTACACTTTGATATTTGTGTGTTCACAACTTACTCTCATCTATTTCCATTGATAAAAATGTGATGTTGCTGGGCATCACCATGTTTCTAGGCTATTAAAATGATGCTGAAATCAAGCATGCAGTACAAAAGGATTTGAACCCGCATTGTTAGAACTGTTTAGCTGAAAAGTATGTATGCTCAACAATACAACATTTTTTTGATGTATATGACACTTTAGTATATTTATTGGAAACTGACATCCATTTCCTTAGGAAGAAAGGTTTGAAGCAAATGTCTGATGTGTTTATATGTTATTGCTATACAAGTGTAGAATCCTGGATCTTTGTTACCATTAACAGAACTGTTACGGAAGTCAGCCGAGCACACCCTGATGGATATGGTTCAACTCTTGTTTACAAGGCTGCCACAGTTCAAAGAAGATCCTAAGTGGAGTGCAAACATGAAGAAGGTGATGATATTTCAGATTTCTAACAGTTGCCAGTCATGGTATAAGTTTACACAAGAAATTTTGTCTTTGTGGCACATTTAACAGACCCAAGGTAGTTTACAGGACAGAATAGAGCCTTGCTACCCAAAAAAGTTGTAGATGTTGTAGGAGTGACTCTTATGACGTACAGTTTTTTACTTAGAGGAATCATTTTACTTTAACACAACATAAATAAAGGTTTTGGGCTACAACCCAAGAGCAATCTTAGTTACTAGTTTGGAGCTTTGGTGCTCTCATCAGTGATCTTTATCACAGATTACAACTCCACTGCACTCAGGGTAAGCTTCATGATCAAAAAGTCCTGGCATCTACTTCAAGGGTCAGACACCTGCAAAGACACCTTCCGAGTCACACACATCACGCAATAGAGAAAGAACCGCACACTCAGAGATATTCTCATGAAAGCGGCAATCACATATCCACCACTTTAACCACAAATCAACGGCTGTACTGTGTCCAACCTGGATGACAGCTGTCACAAACAATTGTGTAAAATCTGCGTGAACATAAAGCCGGTCAACACCTTCAGCAGCGACACTACAGGCAAAAAATATAAATGCCATTTGCATTTTACTTGTAAAAGTAGAAACATAATATGCCTCCTAAGCTGCACCAAATGTGGCAAACAATACGTGAAACCAAACAACACTTCGGCACTAAACTCAAAGAACACTTTGCTGATATCAACCATCAAAGGGACAAACCTGTCGCAAAACATTTCAACTCTGCAGGACACTCAACCAGAGACCTGCACTACCGAATCATACAACAACTTAAAACAGACCCTGAATCAGTTCATAGCACGGCTAGACGCCGATCCATTGAACTCAAATGGATATTTGATCTGAAAACCATCCACCCGCTAGGCATGAATGACATGATCTAATCCTGGAATTCCCAACCCACCCACCTTTAGCACACCATGTTAAACATTTGTGAGACCTATAACTTAAAAACTACTGCACTATTCTTTTCAAATTTAGCAAACAGTTTCATTACTATGATTACTATTAGAAGAGGTGCAGTGCAAAGTTTGATGTTGATATGTTGATTTTCTAAGAAACTTAGAATTTTTACATGTTTTGAACTTAGAATGTTTGTTTACCTTCAACATTTGTGCGACCTGTAACTTGAGAACTACTTCATGGATTCTTTTCGAATTTAAGGAACACTTTCTATTCTAATAGGAGAGGTGCAGTGCAAAGTTTGATTTTGATATGTGTCTTTTGTTCATGTTTTGAACTTAGAATCTTTTTAACTTCAACATTTATGCGACCTATGACTTGAAAACCACTGTATGGGTTCTTTTCTAATTTGGGGTACTGTTTCTATACCGAGAGGAGAGGTGTCAGTGCAAAGTTTGATTTTCTGAGAAAATATGGCTTTTTTCATGTTTTGACTTGACTTGACTATTGTGTTTTACAAAATTTGGGTCGGTAGATCTGTGATACAGCTTATAAAAATAAAGACCTTAAACACAGATTGCATAGTTTAATTGAAACTGGATTTCAGGCCCCTGGTTGTTCAATATGTTAAAATAAATCGGCTTTTGTCATCCCTGCATGATGATTATGAGTTGAATATTTAAGTCTTTTACATGGTTTAGGCCAAAGAAGTCAGTTTGTGTTATTTTCCCAATCCAGTTGAAGATGAGAGCTGGTGGGGTAGACCCAACACGCATGTCGAAACGGAAACGGTCTCCAAAACCTCGGCCCAAACGATCTCACACCAATACACAGCAACCCACAGACAGCCCCCAGGGTCATGCCTCTATAGCAGAGGGGGTGGAGGAGCCCCTGGAACAGCCTGAGATTATGGACACCTCGTCCTTTGAACATATTACTTCAGACAGAATCATTGCCACAACACCTGTAGCACCCAATGGAGACAGGGTCATTGATATAACGAGGAGTTTTGAGGTAAGTCCTTGAATGTTTGTAGTTTCTTTTCAGGTTAATGATATTTAGAGGTTATTACATGGCAGTTTTCATATCAATCCTCAGCCAGTGGGTCGATATGGGGTTCGGGGTTTGATATGGGGTATGATATGAAAACTGCCATTTAATAACATCTTTGTTTTATACTATAACATCAAATTGTAAAGTTATATCTATTTTCACCTTGTTTGGAAGACATTGCCACAGGAAAGTTAGTTGAGCAGACGATGCACCAAGGGATGTAACTCCAATTTCTGATACCCAGACTAATATCAATCGCCCATTCAAAAAATATTGGTATGCCATATCAGCCCTACAGGGATTGTAATACAGGTCTGGTTATTAAACCCCCTGTAATATAACCCTCTCCATGTTGGCTCTAATACACTTGTAAAATGCCTCATAACATTGACATGTGTATGATGAACTAGTTTATTGCCCATAAGTCATCAACTTTACATATTTACTCCTGACTGGTTATCCAGGGTTACAGATTAGCAATATGTTAGACAGTCTGCTTTATTATGTTAATGGCGAAGCGACCTAAGGGTAACAGAGTTTTATTTTAATAGCTTCAAATCTTTCAACTGTAATAATGGGATCAGTGGGAATGTAATTCTCTGCTGTCTCTTCCTTCAACCAGGCACTTGATTTGCTGGTTATTTAATCATGCTTAGAAATGAGAAAAATTTTGATTGGTTATCCTGGAATAGAATAAGCAAAACCTCAAGACAGTTTGCTTAATCGTTAGAGCTTCCTAAGTGACAATAATACAACATAAAACTGTAAAAATGTTTTCTTACATCTTATCACTATTCGACAGAAGCCTTTTAAGGCTGTTTGTTTGTATTTTCTTGAAATTTCAAGATACATACTAAGTTGAAATTTCAAGATGCTAAGTTGAAATTTCAAGGTGCTAAGTTGAAATTTCAAGCTTCTATTCTATTCAGATAAATTGAATGAATTTCTATCTCTTGTATCCATGCTTCATGAGTTTACTATGAGTTATGTGTGTCTAGGCTGCTTCAAAGGCTGAGGAGGCCCAGCTACATGCTGCTGAGGGATGCCAGGCAACAGTTGTAGAACCCACAGAACAACTCCCAGCAGACCAGTCTGCAGGGGAACCCCCGTCAGACGAGGCGCTGGAAGACAAGGCACCGGAGGACAAGGCATACAGGGTCCCAGCAGTAACACTTACATTGCCAGAAGATAGTTACCAACTCAAGGTACCAGCAGATTGCACTGTATTTTAGTTGAACGGATGACCCAGTTGTTTCAGATCCCACAAGGTTGTTGTTGGGGCCGAATAATAAGTTCGTCCTGATTATACCCCTCGGTTTGTCTGCTCTATGCCATGTTAAGCCGACATGATGGGATATAACTGAAATATTGTTCAAATCAGCGTTAAACTGTACTCACTTTCTTGCTCACTCGTCCTTGTCGCTTTTATTTCTTCAAAGCTGTTGGGCAATGAATAAGAAGGATTTCGGAGATGAACATGAGATTTGAGGGTGTTATTAAGAATTTAATGAAATTTATTCTGAATCAATACTTGCAAGATATTTCCAGATTGAGACAAAAGATATGAGAAAAGTATTCATACGCAGTGAAAAGTCCAGAATACAGATCCCATATTACAGTATTTTGACATGATTAAAGAACACACTCCATTTGTTTTACAGTGTCTGGTGACACAGTACAGTACAGTACAGTATTGATAGTACTGATGAACTCAAACATTTTTGTGGTTCACACTTCTATGATTAGGATATCTAGTCTTGGCCCTAAGGAATAGCTTGCAGACTAGAAGGAAACTATGGAGAATGTTCCGGCAATTTTGAAACCAAATATGCCATTGCCACTTGCTGTTGCTTGAGATGTGTTCCGTCTTTAGCGTCTTTTATTTGAGTGTCTCTGTTTGACAGAAATCAGCGAGTGACTCTGAGCTGAACTCTGAAGGCGGGGATGACACTGAGTCTATAAACTCCACAGCAGACTCTGTGGACACATCCTCGGTCCAAGACAGTGAGTTCATCAACCCTCGAGGCGTGCGCTTCACTCAGCATCACTATGTGAAGGAAGGTCAGTGACTTTGCATAATTGAACAATCTTCAAACTGTTTGCAACTTGATCTTTGAACACCCTTCAAACTGTTCATAGTTGTCATGATCTATCATTATAGTCTGGAAGGTAATTTAAGGTACCGATGTTTACTACAATATCTGAAAAACTATCAGACCTACTCCAGTCAAAGTTGGTATGAGATTATTAAACAGTCATACATAACTGGATATTACATTTAAAGACAATTGGTGCATGAATAAAAAATCTCTATTTAGCTATCACTATATTTCATGAACAACCAGACCTGTTCGTCATGGGTGGAACGAGCATTCATTGAAACGGCCATCTGCATAATGCTACCCCTGCGTAGACCATATGACACAGTTGAACCAATCAACTCAACTCGAAAGGGTGCACGGGAATCACGCACGTTGAGACCCCAAACGCTAACACCGTATTCGTGCGTGCTTGATTCCCGTGCAACCTTTCAAGTTGAGTTAGTACAATAAAACTGCCATTAGTTTGGACTAGTACAAGCAACCGCAACCACGCACGCACGCACACACGCACGCACACGCACACACACACACACACACACATATCACTACAAAAGTGCAGTAATCATAAACACAATGTTAAAAATCCATTTCACCTCGACTAACCTTGCCAATACTAATGACAATATTTTTGACACCAGACAACATTGATCTCATCTCCTGCAGGTTCTGGCCCTCTCATTCCCTATGGTCTGCCCTGTGTGAGAGAACTGTTCCGCTTCCTGGTGTCTCTCACCAACCCCATCGACCGCCACAACACTGACGTCATGATCCACATGGGCCTCAGTCTGGCCACTGTAGCACTGGAGGCTGGTGCAGACCACATCAGTTCATTCAACTCTCTGTTGTATCTCGTCAAGGATGAGATGTGCAGGAACCTCTTCATGGTCAGTAGATTGTTTTGAAGTATTGGATATAACAATTGTACTTTCTTTCCAGTCTATTCAGGCAATATATTACCAGCTATTTAAGGGCCACATGATATAGTGGGAATACTGTTGACTGGCAAAATAAACAACTACACTCACTGTCACAGGGATATGTCTAGACCTGCCCAGAAGCCAATATTCGACCCCAAATCTGCTGCAAACATGACAAGTGTCATTACAATTCATGTTAATGTATATGATTAATGATTGATCCATTTTATGCGGGGGTATATGGTCATCATCTGGTCTGTCTGTCTGTCCATCCATCTATCTGTCTATCTGTCTGTCCATCCATATTTTCTTTTCATCAGGGACTGAATTGGTGCCTTTTGCTATATATGAATTTTAAATTTAATTTTTCTTTCTGTTTCCATGGCAACAAGTTAGACTTTGACTCTGTTTATAGTGTTTGTCCGAACCATATCTCCAAAACATCCTTATTCCTTCATGACATTTTGCACACACAAAGATCAGGTTGTCAATTGGTTCCTTTTGCTTTTGAGGGATTTTTAGAATATATATTTTTTCCTGTTTCCATGGCAACAAGTTTGACTTTGACTCTTTTCATATTGGTGTGTACCTGACATAGAAATACAAAGTTCTGAATCCGAATTCCATGGTATTGTTTTGATAGCTCAATACAACTATTGTATTCGGACAGAGAGATTAGAGATGAAATTCTCTCATCAAGTTGGACTTAAAGTAACAGTCAGATGATTTGTTCTTTCTAATTTGTGGGGGCCGGGGGATTTGTCTTCTTCTAATGACTATTGTATATTATTGCATTGAGTGCAATTTCAAAATACAATCTGAAAATACCTCTGAATTTAAGAAAATTTGCCTTGAAGGGCTTGATCCTTAAGCATGTTAAGAATTGTCTTTCATTTAGATATTCTCGAAAAAATGATTGCCCCTCAAAACAATTGTTTTATTATCGTTATTAATTAGGCAATACAGACCTGTATATCCCTCACTAACCCCCATTGTTTGTGTATCAGCTTCTACAGGCTGAGAGGCTGTCCCTGTTTGCTGCATCTCTGCGAGTCTGTTTCCTGCTGTTTGAGTCCATGCGCTCACACCTCAAGTTCCAGCTGGAGGTATGTTCTTGCCTGATAGACATAGGAAATACAGACACTTGGGGTCTACTGAAAATACCCATAATACTGCTTCACATGTTGAATAGCCTCATATCACATGCATATAATGTAAGTTGCTGCATGTGATTGGTCAGAATGCCATTCTCTCTGCTCATTTCAAGCACATCAATTGCTGGTTAATTTACCTTCTTTAACAATGAGGGAATATTAAGCATTGTAGAGGGTTCGCGGAAAGGTGGTTCAAAGTTGAAGTTAATTCCAGGAGGGACCCACAAGTAGATAATCTTAAAAGAACTGAATCTCCCATAACTCTGGATAAATATGAAAAAATATGTATAAGTATTAAGCCCAAATCTAATTAAGATGTTGGTACACTTTTTTGTGAACATGTTTTCCATTTATTGCAGATGTTCTTGACAAAACTCAGTGAAATTATAGTGTCCGAGTCCCCCAAATTGTCCTACGAAGTTCGAGAGATTGCCCTGGAGTCTGTGGTGCAGCTGTGGAGGATCCCTGGCCTCGTCACAGAACTCTATCTCAACTATGACTGTGACCTGTACTGCTCCAACCTCTTTGAGGAACTCACAAAGCTTCTTTCAAAGGTCAGTTTGAAAGAAAAGTTATAACTCTTTCAATTTCTGGACTTAATGTCCTCCTTTTTTTCTGATTCAGAAACTATCAGTATTTGGATTGTGTATATAAATATCTTGAAATGATTACTCAGGTGACTATCCAAATTCTATTGTGAAAGGGACATGCTAAACAAGATAATGTCATTTATTTTGGGTTTATTTGGTTGACAAAAGTGTGTCCTAATATTCAATGTAGATGGTCAGGGCCTGAGAGGCCTGCTACTGATCATGCTAATAAATGAATAAGATTTAATATTTTAGAATAAAGATTTTACATAAATTGTTCACCATTTCCTACAAATAGCAGTGAGTTTTTCATTTCACTTATTGTAAAACAGATTTGGCCCAAAACATGAAAAACATAAATAAAAGGCTTAGCATTTTTTTAAAACTGTTTTCAAAGTAATATTGCTCCTGACATTGGTAAAATAAGCAGTTGATAACAAATGTGTTCTGTATCATGACTGTTGTGAACTTCACAATTGTTTGTTTTGTCCTCTCCAGAATGCATTTCCAGTGTCAGGGCTGTTCACCACACACCTTCTGTCCCTGGATGCCCTGCTGACCGTGGTGGACAGCATTGAGCAGCACTGTCACAGTCGCATCCTCACCTCCACCAAGACAGCCAGCAGCAGCGTCGACACTGACCCCAGACAGCAAGACATGGCAGCTAGCCAGGCAGATGGTAAGCATGCTGGACAGATCAGTACACTATTACACAGGCTGGGGAACCTGACAGCTTCCCTGTTTGTTATGGTATACTGATAGGTGAAATCCATGGATTGGATTTTAAGACAAATAATGAGGATGAATCATGTAATAAAACCTGAGTATTAACTTGCCCAGAGTCAAATATCTACACCACTGAAGTAAAAAGGTCAATATAAATTTTTGGACTTCTCCTATCTCACACAATGCCTTTCTTCTTTCTTCTTCGATCCTATGTGGAAATGTGTTAAACAATGTTTCCAGCTTCTCAAAAACAATTCCCTCGAACTCATCTCAGCATCACCATTGTCACCACCAAAACAAATGGGTCATGCACATAATCAACCCAAATGACCTGATCACGTGCCTCCATGTCTGTCACTTCATTCCATGGTGTTTTTCTCTCAACGGATTCCCTATCTTAGTGTAGCCATTTTTTATGCCACACTAGGTGAATGGGAGAGAAGAAGGAAAAAGCAACTGATATTCTGTGCCCAGCTTGTTTGCAATATAGACGTACCTACTCGACCTCTGACCTGCATCAAAAGTGTTGTGATTGTCACGGTAGATGCAGCCTGGAAAGCATGCTATACTGAATGCAAACACCTTCTGGAGGCTGCATTTTCCGTTTACCTACACAGGTGCCATCAGAGAGAAATGAATCGCCGCTCCAACACCCATGACTCTGACAAGAAGTCAGAAGGATGCAACAAAGTCTAAATGTCGTCCTTTGTGAATAATAAATCAATAAACAAGCCTTCTTCTTCCACCTGCTGGGGGCACGGGTGGCCCAGCTGTCTCAGGCGCCGCGATTGGCTGTGCAGACTTGCGTCCCTTGGTCACGCCAGAAACCTATGATTGTGGGTTCGAATCCCGGTTCGCCCCGATTGTGTTTCTAGGTTTGTCAGCACCATACCCATGCTCGTGGGTTTCACAGAAGTGGTAAACGTCTGAGACCTGCATCACTTCGGGCTTTCCTCCCACATTAAGCTGTCATGCCGCGATATAACTGGCATACTGTTTAAAGCGGTGTTAAACCCAACTCACTCACTCACTCTTCCACCTGCTGTACCCCTAGACTCCTTGTTACCTGTACTGCATGTGGCCAGAGACGGGGTTTCTGACAGCTTTTTGACAGAAGATGTTGGCGATCAGCCTGGGTCATCGTCTATTACAACAGTGCTGGCCACCTCTGATACCTAGATGGTCCTTGTCACCACTCCCAGCCACACTAATTCATCCATGATTGCTGTCGCACCTTCGACAATGTCTCACCGTTTTTGGTACCCCACATTGGTACGGTGTGATCAGGTGTGTTTAATGGCCTTGACAAAGCATTAAAATAGCTATTGTCCGTGGGTGTGAGTGTTGTGCTCTGTGTTGTAGAATCGATTGACTGGAGACCCCTTCCAGATCGATTAGAAGATGTACGCTATATCGTTTATTTCTTTACATCTACACGGTCATTCATTTAACTATGGCACATGTGTTGCATGTTGTACCCGATCTCATGCTGTTACATTGGAGTAGTATATCGGGATCGTATCACCAGTTGATGGTTGATTTTCCACTCATGAGTTATTGACGTTCGTGCCACTATGCAGTGTTCGAAATGTTTTATTTATTGTTTACTTCAGTGTGAAAGACTGAGTTTTCTGAAGTTGAGAAAAGTGATATTTTCATTGTAGTGAACATAACACTTGATATTTCACTTCAGTGAACATAACACTTTGCAGAACTAGTGTCATACAAGAGTTGCCTCCCCTTAAATTGTCTCCCTTTATCGTAAGTGTCTAGCCTGTACAAAAACTTTTGATGTCCATTTTAAATTAGATCCACACTGACAAGGCAAAATAATGACAGATTGTCATTTATGGACTTAATATCACTTCTTGCAATTTGTTATTCTCTTGAAAAAATTTCATTTTAAACTGTAAAGTTCTCATTTAACTCATCAATCGAGACTGTTCGTTTCGGGTTTTTTGTTACTAGTTAAGTTGGTTTTGTATATAATCATATCTTAATGTATGACAAAGAATTTTCTTTACCCTTAATATTACATTAAGTAATACGTTACCACTGTTATACCGAGGCTGTTGTCTCCCACAACTGCTGCTATAGCGAAATCTACCACAGAGATCTCAATTACCTCATGCAGCACGTGCGTAGCCACCTAGCTGCCATGTGACACCCTTCACTCTTGTCTCTTCGCTTGCTCTAGCAAGACGTACAATAAACTGCTCAAGCGTTCCTGTTTCTCCGACCATTCGGTGATATTTATTACTGTTTATTCTCTCTAATAAACTGTGCTTTTCCGGGGCGTTTGCTGTAACTACGCTTGGAAATATTTTTCTCGCCAAAAGGAAATATTTTTCCCACCCTTTTTTTCTATATACTTGCGGGGTGTCTCGTATGCACGTTGCGTCTTACGTTCCCCTGTTCTAGTATATCTTCGGGTTTTTACATCACTTATTCCTATATATGTTACATGTTCATGTTCTATATTCGCATTGCTCGTTTATTTTCTGGTGAAAATACTCGTTTGTGACTATTTGTGGTGCGTGTGTTGTAACCATGTTTTGCTCTTTGTTCATAGTACAAACAAAATGTCTGACATGGATGTTTCGCCGTCCTCCACCCCCTCTACCCCCGCAACCAGGAGCTGCGGGGTGTGCCGCAAGCAAGGGCTACCAGCTGTATGTGCAGTCCGTTTCCTACCCTGTGGTGGCCGGCTCGTCCGGTCGGGTTCCCCTTGCGGGTACCACCACCACGGCTGCGGCGGATCCCTTGGCGGCCCGTGGGCTGTCCGGGGATTCCGTCGCTGCATTACTTGCAAAACTTGTGGACTCCAAGCTGGCAGCCTTATCTCAGGATAGGCCGCTGGCTGTTCCGTCGGGGTCGGACGCGGGGTCCACCGGTACGGCGGCAGCTCCCGTGGTCACCGGTCCTTCCCCCGAACTGTTGCTCCCGCTATCGGTTAAGGACCGCGTGGCCATGGTTTATGACCTCTTTGAGGACATGCCACGGCCCCGGCTGGTACCGCGGGGAATCCACGGCTCTGTGGGTTCCTCCGAGGTATACGATGAGTCTTCCGACACGGCTTTCCCCGCATCAACCTTGCTGCGTGGTATGAAGCTTTCCTTGGAGAACGCCTTCGCGGCAGCCTCTGGTCGGGGTTCTACCGTTGCCTCCGACTTCGTGGAGAAAGGGTTAATTCCCGGTACATGACCTTGCCTTTCCCGAGGCTGGTCCTACCGCGGAGGCCCATGTTGAGCGGTTGGGTGTCCGTGCCCCACCGGCTGCTACGGTAACGCAAGCTACCTTGCACCAGCTGGATGCCCTCGCTCGGCACTCCATGCTTGCCATGTCTCACGGAGACACTTACTTGGCTGCAGCGGCCAGTCTGGTCGAAGGTTCTCCCACGGACCGTGACCAGCGCATTTACAACTGCCTGCTCAGTTTAAATGCTTCCCTGGAGTACGTTGCCGAGGACTCTCGTCACACACTTGCTCTTGTTGGGTCCCTGCATAGGCGCCTGGGTGCCGCTCCTAACCGGGGCGCGCCCCAGGCTGCTGCGGCCGGTAGGTCTAAGGGGTCGGGTTCTTCTTCCTCTGGGAAGAAGCCCCGCCCTGAGGGCTCCGGTATTGGCAATCAGCTGCCCTTTCGCGGGAAGATGGGGAACTGGGGGAAGCCCAAGTCGTCTAAGGACGGCAAGGGCCCCTCCAGGTGACTCTCATTGGAGGGGTTCGTATGCCGACAGCGCTAACTTCGGTTGGCCCTTAGGCGAACCCGAGTCACTTGGCCCTGGGCAGTTGCGCCTGCCGCAGCCTGTCAGGGCCCCCTCTCCTTCCCCAGTGGGAGCCAGACTCCAGACTTACTGGGGGAATTGGGAACAAGTGTTCGACGACCCGTGGGTGGTCAACACGATTCGGTACGGCTATCGGCTTGATCTCAGAGCGAATCCGCCGCTCACCGTTGCCCCGTTGGCAGGTTTTGATTCGGAAACCGATCTTCCCATCCTCGCCGATGCCATCGGCAGGTTGGTGGAGAAGGGGCAGTACGGGAGTTAGCTCTACCAGAAATAACACCAGGGTTTTACTCCAGGATATTTCTCGTTCCCAAGTAGGACAGTGCCGAACTCAGAATGATTCACACGTCCGCTCCCTGGCTGTTCACCCGGTTCACCACCCCCATAGTGGGGTTCCTCCACAGGAGGGGTGTCAGGTACTTCGCATACCTGGACGACTCGCTAGTTGCAAATTGAATGACGGACGTGCTGTCTCGTCAGCTCAATTTTGCACTTAGGCTCTTGGAGCAATTGGGGTGGATTGTCAATCTCCCCAAGAGCGAGTTAACCCCCTCACAGAACTTGAAGTTCTTCGGAGGTCGGTTCGACACGGTGACCCATCGCCTCTTTGTCCCCCCAGACCGGTGGCACAAGATTTAGGCGATGATTGCCAAAGTCTTATTGGTGCCACAGACTGTTCACTTTTGGGAACAGCTGTTAGGGCTACTTGTGTCCGCCCAGGACTGCACCGATCGGGGTCGTCTCCAACTCCGCCCGCTGCAACGGTTTCCAATCCAGTTGTTAGCACAGGAGGAGAACAGTGCGACCGTCGCCCTCGTAGATCGGCTCCGCCCGCATCTGGAGTGGTGGACGGTCCCTTACAATGTCTTATCAGGAGTCTCTATGCGGCCCTACCGGGCCACGTTGAACCTGTATATAGACGCCTCTCTAGTGGGCTGGGGCGCCCATCTAGAGGGGGAGGTGAGCTCGGGGCTGTGGTGCGTAGACGAACTAGGTCTTCACATCAATTGTCTCGAGTTCAAGGAAGTGATAAACGCAGTCAATCACTGGAAGCATCGTCTCGTCGACGCCCGGCTCATGCTGGCGACCGACAACACGACGGTAGTGTCCTATGAGAACAAACTGGGGGGAACCCACAGTCACTCGCTACTCGATCTCACGTTCGAGTTTTACTCTCTGGTGGGCAGTGTCCCGTGCCAGGTACGCGCCCGTCACATCCCAGGTGTGCGGAACGTACTGGCCGACGCTCTATCGAGGCCTCAGGATCCGAGCCCCACAGAGTGGATGCTCAACCCAGTAGTGTTTCAGTGGCTGTGCGAACGTTTGGGTCGTCCGATGGTTGACCTGTTCGCAACGCGGTTCAACAATCAACTTCCGTTGTTTGTATCACCAGTCCCAAACCCGAGGGCCATTGATCACGATGCTCTCGCGTTAGACTGGACGGGCATGGACGCTTATGCTTACCCACCGACGGCGTTGATACCACTCATTCTAAGCCGGCTCCGAGGAGTTCGCTGTCGAATGTTACTGATCGCGCCCATGTGGCCGAACAGATCGTGGTATCCCGACTTGCTGACCCAGGTCATGCAGTCGCCACTCCCACTGCCTGTGAGACCGGATCTCCTGATCCACCCTCACACCCGTCAGCTTCATCCAAACGCAGGGCAGTTCAATCTGCACGCGTGGATGTTGTCACCGAGCGTCTGAGGAGTAAAGGTTTTTCTCGTCGGGCGTCTCAGGCATACGTTAGTATGCATCGTGATTCCACCCAGAAGGTGTATCATGCACGTTCGGTTATTTTCACGAAGTGGTTTTGTAAACATCACATTCATTCGCCAGATAAGGTATCTCTGCAGGATATTGCTCGTTTCATGTCTCACTTGCGAGAGACCCAGAAACTCTCCGGTGGTTCCATTGCCAACTATGTCTCTTCCGTTGCTACGGTAGGGGACGTTGCTATGGGTACCAGTCTCTCATAAGAGCCGGTGATTCGGGGTATTATCAAGGGTTTCAAACAGCAAGATCTTCAGAAAGGCCACCTTCGGGCAACGGCCTGGGATCTTTCCTTAGTGTTGAAATCCCTTACAGAAGCTCCGTATGAACCCTTGAGTAGTGCTTCGTTCCGGCATGTGACTTGGTAAACAGCATTTCTCCTCTCCTTTGACATGGGCCAAACAGAGAGAGAATTCACTGTAAGATCACTCAAGGATATCTTACATCCTGCTGATACTGAGGACAGATTGCTGTGTCCGTTTAGGGCCCTTAAGTATTATCTTAAGGCTTCGAATGAATGCAGACAAGGGCGTGACCGTCTGTTCATATCGTATAACCCTAATCGCACTGCTGACATAACTCGCAACTCGATTGCGTTATGGCTTCGTTCTGTCGTCAATCTGGCATACCGGTCTCGAGGGTTACCGGTAGCGGGGTCAAACCCGCACGAGATCAGGGCGCTAGCGGCAACATTTGCCCTACACTCGAATATCTCTGTTCGCAAAATATTACGAGGTTGTTATGGGCGTTCTGACTCGGTTTTTGCCATCATTACCTCCAACAGCTCGCTGATGACGACGTGGAGAGTGTGCACCGTCTTGGGCCGCTGATCGCGGCGCAAGCGGTCACCTAAGGGGTGTGCCCAGCGCAATTCCGACCTCCTCAGGCGTCAGACCTTGCACGGTGGTCAATCTGGGTCGACTCCAATGTTCCCACTGCCGTGGGTACAGGAGTTGGGGTCCCGCAAACCAGCGCACTCACACCACAGGTGAGGGCGGCTTTTTGTGTGCTTTGTCCACATTTGTATTTTGACAATTATGTATTTAATTGTCTGTCGTGTATCCCAACCTTGTGATGCATGCTTACAAATACTGGAATTAGGTCATGCGCCTAATGCATACTTTAAGTAGGCTTGCTCTGGGATATACGGTCCGAATGAAATTAATTTCCCTCTTTTCGACTGTTTAACCTGATCTAAGATTTAGCTCACGCGGATACAGTGTTCTCATCCGCTGCAGCGATGAAATACCTATCCAGTGGGGCCGTTTGGAGTCACCAATCGTTTTGGCAATGACGATTGAGCCTTACGGTATGCGCTTGACAGTGCTTTGGTATTCCTATAGGGTAACGCCTAGCTAGGTGCATGCGCATCGAGTGCTTCCGCCTTGGTGTTTACTTCCGCTACTGTGGTAGTCAGCCTCGGTACAACAGTGGTAACGTATTACTTAATGTAATTTGTAGAATTTTCCTATTTGGAATATTCTATAAGTAATACGTTACCACTGGGTTGCTGCCCGCCCGTCCGTCCCCCGAGCACTTGCTCTCGCAGGAGACGAGTGAAGGGTGTCACATGGCAGCTAGGTGGCTACGCACGTGCTGCATGAGGTAATTGAGATCTCTGTGGTAGATTTCGCTATAGCAGCAGTTGTGGGAGACAACAGCCTCGGTATAACAGTGGTAACGTATTACTTATAGAATATTCCGAATAGGAAAATTCTACAAAAGAAATTATACTTTTGTTTATGCGGTTTAAGTTTTGTGAAAAACGAAACTACTTTTTAAGTCTCAAACACAAGGGGTGGTGAATTTACATTTCAAGGTTTTACATTTTTAAAGAAATTATTTAATTTTCCGGTAGACACCTACACAGAAAGTATGTTATAAATGGGATATTCTATATGTCATATCATGTTTCTCTCATTTTGTGACGGGGGAAAAGTAAATATTTCCTTTTCCCCGCCACAGGATGAGAGAAACATGTTATTTCACTCGACACATGAAATATCCTCTATTTATTTCACTGTTGAGAACCAGCTTCCTTATGTTAAGGTTGTAGTCTTAAAGGCTAAGGTATCTGCACCCAGCATCCAACAGTGGGATAAATGTATAGTGTGAGATAGGATAAATTTAAAAATGTAGAATTTTCCAAGAAATTGTATATTCATATACTTATCCTATCTATATGCCTAAGCGACCATCCCCGCATCTTATCTCATCTAGCCTGATAGCTCTGATGAAAGAGAATGAAGTGACAGATACAGGAGGCACATGATCAGGTCGTGTAGGTCGCTATGAACTATGGGCAGTGACAATGTTGATGCTGTGTTCAAGGGAATTGTGTTTTAGAAGCTGGAAACCCTGTTCGAGCATGTTTCCACACAGGATGGAATAAGAAAAGAAGAAATGCATAATGTGAGATAGAATAATTATATAAATATACAATTTATTATAAATTGTCCAATTTTGCTCTTGGCTTGTGTTTGTCTGAGGGGGCATGGGTGGCCCAGTCACCTAAGGCGCCGCTATTTGCTTTGTAGAGTTGCGTCCCATGCTCATGCCTGAAACCTATGATTGCGGGTTCGAATTCCAGTTCACCCCGATTATGTTTATGTTTGTCAGCACCATACCCGTCTCATGGGTTTCATCAAAGTGGTAAGCATCTGACACTGCATCACTTCAGGCTTTACTCCTACATTAAACTGACTCGCTGGGATATAACTGGAATACAGTTAAAAGCAGTGTTCAACCTAACTCACCTCCTCAGTTGTAATTGACTGCCTGTGTTTGTCATGGTTGTTAATGATGAATCTTGTATCCAGGCAGTGACCAGTCTTCTGGTTCAGTGGAGGCTGATGTGGGCGGGGAGAGCAAGCTTGTTGGACCCCCCACAACGGGGTATGGCATGGCACAGCACATCATGAAGGGAAGTCTCGCAGGTAAACAGGGACAGATAACTCATTTGTGATGCATGCTGGAAAAGACATTATTACGGTTATAATGTCTGAATGGCGGTTGGGGGTAGCCTAGTGCTTAAAGCATTCATACATCACCTTGTAGACCTGGCTTTGATTTCCCTCATGGGTACGTTGTGTGAAGACAAATTCTGGTATCCCACGTAGTGATACTGCTCGAATATTGCAGAAAGCGATGTAAACCCTGACACAAGGCTGACATACCTCAATAATACTTTCAAAGGAATGTCAAACCAAACTCACACTGACTCTTTGTGTGATTGGGGTGATCGGGTAGCTTAGTGTTGAAGCTTTCTCTGGTCACGCCAAAGACCCGGGTTCGATTCCCAACATGGGTACAATGTGTTAAGCCCATTTCTGGTGTCCCCCCCCTTGATATTGCTGGAATATTGCTAAAAGCGGCATAAAACCATACCCACTCACTTTGTGTGATTGAATGCTGCCTAATGCAATGTATTGATTGTTGGTTATGTACGTACGTCAGGTGCTGATGCCTCGAAGTCTTCAAAGACAAAGGAACCCAAGCGAGGACCACATATCAAACCTAACAGGATGAAGATAACATCGAAAATACCTTCACTTGAAGAACTGGCTGCTATCAAGCACAAGAAAAAGGTCTGTGTTTTGTTATTAAGTGAAATTAAGTCTGACATCAAGTTTGATTTGAAGAGTTGAATTTTATAGCCAAAATTGTCAAAATGAAATATGAAGGGGTTAAGGTTCACAGGACTGGGCTTGAACTTATACTGTGGAACTCATTTTCTGATCATGGTTATAGAGAATGTATACATGAATTATCTACCTCAGTAATATTTAGGTTGATTTGACATGTTTACAGTAAATGATCAGGGCCCCATTCCACAAAGGAATCTTAGCGCAAAGGTGATCGTAACTCCCATACTTTAACACTGGCTTGCAATAGTCGTAGCGCTAAGATTGCTTTGTGGAACTGTGCCCTGGTGCCTCGGTTTACAGTCTGTGCCAAAACCATTTGAAGAGTGGTGGCGTATATATGAGACTAGTGGCTAAAGTTTCTGCTCATCTCACCAAAGGCCTGGTTCGATTCCACATAAAAGCCTTTTCTGGTGTTCTCCGCTGTGATAGTGCTGGACAAATAGTAAAAGTGACATAAAACCATGCTAAAAAAATTGTCAATAAAATCCACCTGACCAAGCTTGTGTTTAGATTTCATTTTCAATGGATGTTAGAGTTAAGGTGCCAGTTTAATTTCATGAGTATATACAGCTTTGCAAATTTGGATAGATCGTAATATCACTACTATCGTATTCAAAACATTAGACTGTCTATCAATTTCCAAGGCTGAAATGAAAATACAACAGAGGCAGAGCCTTTTGTATACAGAGGCTCCATGCATGGTCTTGTTGGAGGAAATTGCCTCCACAATTTCACGTTTGATCAGACAAGGGACACCCAAACTTATGCAACTGATCGCACAACACGCCCAGTCCTCCATTCGTACTCTAGTTCTGTTCACGGTCATGTTCGGCTGCACTCATTCTCAGCAAAGCTAACCTATTTTATCACTTTTTTTACCCCCCCCTGGACATTCTCCTATCCACACTTAGCAATGACCATTTGTTCAATGTACACATTTTTTCACTGTGGAACCGACAGCCCTGAGATTGTAAAGAAAATATCTTACAATGTTAAAATTGCAGAATTCACGTAAGGTTGCTTGACCATGTTGACATGCCCCAACCAGCCATACACTTGACAAATGCAGAATCCATACCAGTATTATATGTACAACATAGGTCTCCCCACAACTAATGGAACAAATGCGTATATTCTGTTCGAGTTCGAGTCCCAACATGGGTACAATGTTTGAAGCCCACTTCTGGTGTCCCCCACCATTATATTACAGGAATATTGCTAAAAGCGGCGTAAAACAACACTCACTCACTACAAATACAGACCTCAAAATATGTACTTTTAATTAAGTGCAACAGATTTAAGTTTACACTTTCACACTTTTTTTCTCGGCCATTGTATTGTACATCATACTGGCTACATAATGATGTAATTAAAATATATTACTATTTTTAATGATACTTACACTTTAACATATGTTCTATTAGCCTGCTTTGGACTAATGACTTAGTTTGTTGGAATGTAAGTGCTATATGAGAAATGCTTCCCCTGACAGTTGTACCAGACTGGGACTGAGCTGTTCAACATGAAGCCAACCAAAGGCATCACGTTCCTCCAGGAGCAAGGTCTTCTGGACTCCCCACTTGACACAGGACAGGTTGTCATGCTGCTCAAGGAAAACCCAAAGATGGACAAGAAGATGATTGGAGAATATGTCAGCAATAAGAAAAATAACAAAGTGCTTGAAGCATTTGTCAAGTGAGTTACTGCTTATGCCTGCGAATGTCATGTTATTTTGGTTTCAGAATTATTCTTTTGAATTCAGTGTAATTTCTTTCATGATTCAGGTATCCTTAGCCAAGGATAACTCATGTATGGTGAAACAGTTTAACAAGATGACTTACATCTTTCAGTGATGCTGATGCTTATCATGCTTGTTATTTAACATGATTAAGATTGTTTGTTGTGGTAGCCTTGGTTTTGTACCAGTATTCATGAAGGAGATGAGTATCAGTAAAATCAACGTCAAGTTGTCTCCCTTTGACAATAATTCATACATCATGTTTCAGGTCCTTTAACTTTGAAGATATCAGAATTGACGAGGCACTGAGGATGTACCTAGAAGCATTCCGTCTGCCTGGAGAAGCTCCAGTCATCTCCTACTTGATGGAGCACTTTGCAGACCACTGGCATGTGAGTTGACACAGAACAACAAGAGTTCTCACAAAAATAAAAAATCACCAACCTGACATGTCAATTCCTAGCATTTCAAACTCCCTAGGTTCAGTAGAATGCTGGGGATGTTGTTATGGAGTCAGGGATGTAACTGTGATTGGATTCTTTTCTGATATCAAGTTATTAAATCCCACCCAAAGAATGGATAGAAACTTCTCTTTCTAAAATGGTGGGGGGGCACAGGTAGGCCACTCTTTGCAGAGTTGTGCCCCTTGATGCGATAAATTCTTTGATGGGGCGCAGCTGCTAAAACATGAATTCTGTTACAACTCCATGTTTCAATACTAAACATGAAACAGTATTTTCCTAAGTTTTGAATAGTTACAAATCCATTGTTTACTTTCAGAAAACCAATGGTGAGCCATTTGTCAACAACGATGCAGCCTTTACCCTGGCCTACGCTGTGATAATGCTGAATGTGGACCAGCACAACCATAATGTCAAGAAGCAGAATATACCCATGACAGTAGATGTAGGTATATATAGATAGCTGTAATTGTATCCATGACAGTAGATGTAGGTATATGTAGCCAGCTGTAATTGTATCCATGACAGTAGATGTAGGTATATGTAGCAAGTTGTAATTGTATCCATGACAGTAGATGTAGGTATATGTAGCAAGTTGTAATTGTATCCATGACAGTAGATGTAGGTATATGTAGCCAGTTGTAATTATCCCCCGCCGCGCGAAAGCGCGAAGCGGGGGATATAGTATTCACGACCGTCCGTACGTACGTCCGTACGTCCGTCCGTACGTCCCACCTGTTTGTTGCCGCGATATCTCAAGAACTAAACACTGGATTGTCTTCATATTTGGAACTATGGTGTATATACAGACTCCGCAGACACCAGTCGGTTTTGGTGACCTTGACCCCATTTTCAAGGTCACAGCAGGCATATCTGCTTTTGGAGTTGGAAAACGGTGTTGCCGCGATATCTCAAGAACTAAATACTGGATTGTCTTCATATTTGGAACTATGGTGTATATACAGACTCCGCAGACACCAGTCGGTTTTGGTGACCTTGATCCCATTTTCAAGGTCACAGCAGACAAATCTGCTTTTAGAGTTGGAAAACGGTGTTGCCGCGATATCTCAAGAACTAAACACTGGATTGTCTTCATATTTGGAACTATGGTGTATATACAGACTCCGCAGACACCAGTCGGTTTTGGTGACCTTGATCCCATTTTAAAGGTCACAGCAGGCAAATCTGCTTTTGGAGTTGGAAAACGTTGTTGCCGCGATATCTCAAGAACTAAACACTGGATTGTCTTCATATTTGGAACTATGGTATATATACAGACACCGCAGACACCAGTCGGTTTTGGTGACCTTGACCCCATTGTCAAGGTCACAGCAGGCAAATCTGCTTTTAGAGTTAGAAAACGGTGTTGCCGCGATATCTCAAGAACTAATCGCTGGATTGTCTTCATATTTGGAACTATAGTGTATATACAGACACCGCATACACCTGTCAGATTTGGTGACCTTGACCCCATTTTCAAGGTCACAGCAGGCAAATCTGTTTTTGGAGTTGGAAAACGGTGTTGCCACAATATCTCAAGAACTAATCGCTGGATTGTCTTCATATTTGGTAGTATGGTGTACAGGCGGGGGATATTTCGTCACTCTGTGACAAATACTTGTTGTATCCATGACAGTGGATGTAGGTATATGTAGTCAGTTGTAATTATACCCAGCTGTAATTTTAGCCATGACAGTAGATGCGGGTATATGTAGCCAGCTGTAATTATACCCAGCTGTAATTTTAGCCATGACAGTAGATGTAGGTATATGTAGCCAGCTGTAATTGTATCCATGTAAGCCACGACAGTTGTATTTATATGTCTATATAGGCAGCTATCATTGAAGCTTTACTCTTTCTCTGTGGTCTGGTTGAGCTTAGAGTCTGCCAGTGTGCAGAAGTTTGATGGTTGTGTCACACCAAAAGGCTTAAAAGATAGTACTTGTTACCCAGCCTGGCGCTGGGCATTAAGGGGATAAACAAGGACTAGCAAACTTATCACTTGGAATCAGTACGCTGTGTCTGAGTTGGGTATCCATGTTACAGTATCTCAGTGGGCTGGCACAATAAAACTATCATAAGCCAACCCAGAATAGTAAAAGCATCCCCACACATACATATGCATGTAGCAAAATAAGTGCAATAATTTTAAACACAACGTTAACCCCATGCTTGATTTGTTTTTTTCAGACCTTTTCATTTATCTTTTCGACTGCAAGAAACTGTTTAAGTCCATATTCCTTAACTACAGAGGATAGATGACTGAGTGGTGAATAAAGCCCATGAACTTTCTGTGCACAATTGTACCCATAATTCAAGGGGCTGTTGGTCATAAGTTACGATCCTCAGCCTTCGAAGTTCAGAATTATAGCCCTTAAATGCTACTACTACCAGTTAATGAGGACATCCACCTTTGGAGAGTGGGACCTGCATGTACTTTGAAGGCAGGATCATGAGCTGACTTGTTGTGAAATAACTACTATAAGCCTTGTCCTGTTATGAGATGAGATTGTATAATAGCTTGTAAATGGTGTGCCAAAAAGTATTTTTCTCTTATTTCAGCAATTTAAGAAGAATGTGTCCAAAACAAATGGGGGGCTTGATTTTGAATCTGACATGCTGTGTGAAATATATTCAGCCATCAAGTAAGTGAACAAAACTCATAGGTCTTGAATTATAGTTCTAGTCTACCTATGTTGGTGATAGTTTGACTGCTGAAGCCTAAACAATTGCTGACATGGCTTGAAAGAACCCAAATTCTGTAATACACTATCTGTTACTTAAAATAGTGACCTGTGAAGATCCGGGGTAGAATAGGTCTTCAGCAACCCATGCTTGCCGTAAAAGGCGACTATGCTTGTTGTAAAAGGCGACTAATGGGAGTGGGTGGTCAGTCTCGCTGACTTGGTTGATGCATGTTATCGTATCCCAATTGCGTAGATCGATGGTCATGATGTCAGTCACTGGATTGTCTGGTCCAGACTCAATTTTTTACAGACCGCCGTCATATAGCTGGAATATTGATGAGTGCGGCATTAAGCAACAAACCAACCAACCAACTTAAAATAATCTTCAGTCAGTTTTTTTGCTTGATTAAAAATGTTATCATTTTGTTCCGGGAACGTGATTGCAGTGACAATCGTATTTCAGGTCTGATGAGATTGTTATGCCTGCAGAACACACTGGTCTAGTCAAGGAGAATTACATGTGGAAGGTGAGAGCTTAGTACTGTATCTAGCGATAGTTTCTCTCTTCAAAAATACTCTATTCATATACCTTTTCATGGTCCATTACATAAATAAGGCTAAACAGAAAAAATGAAAACATCCCTTCATGACTTTAGTTTTTCAGTTGTTGCCATGTTTCTGGCATCTTGTTTTCATTCGATTTCACAAGAAAAACAAAACATTACAGTTACAAATATTAGAACCAATGTTTTCACCACACAGTTGAACTCTGGTTGAATTCACATAGTACTCAGAGAATGAATAAGGTCATGCATCTTGAAATTAAGGGCAAAGAGTTATCTCCCCTACATTAACTATGGTTTAGTCTACGGTACTTGATTAGTGATTACCATCAGTTAAATGTCTCTAGTGTGATTTGGTATTGCCCGGTATTTTAAAAGCAGCTTCAGCATCAGCATCACAGAGAAACCTAACACTGAAAGTTCAGAATTATGAAACAAATTGTTTTGCAACAAATGCACATAAAATGTATGAGATCTTCTGTTCATGTAGAAAAGTATTAGAATACACACCATTTAAAACAGCAGTTATCTATAAATATTCCACCTTGGACATTTGTTTATATCACCATTATGTTCTTTATTTCACCATAACGTTCTAGTTGCTTCAAGCACCCTTAAAATGTTCTTTCCTATGAGTATTAATTTTTTGTAGATAATCAATATCGACAATAAGTATAATCAATCAATGATATGTTTCCTTTGTTTCCCTCATGGAAGTCCCAGGATAAAAAGAGCCCTGGGTAACCTATGCTTGTCATAAGAGGCCATTAATAGATTGAGTGGTCTGACTCGGTGACTTAGCTGATTGCATGTTGTCATAGTCTGACAGCATGTCCATTGCTCAATATATTAATCACTGGATTGTCTGGTCGACACATGATTATTTACAGGCTACCAGCGTACAACAAACAAGCAAACCTTCCTCATGGTGCATGTCTGTTACAGGTTTTACTGCGCCGAGGCTCAACCAAAGAAGGAGTGTTCCGCCATTCCCCGACTGGAGCTTTCGACCACGAGTTGTTTTCTCTCATTTGGGGCCCCACTGTTGCTGCTCTGTCATTTGTCTTTGATAAGAGCACTGACGAGTCTATCATACAGAAATCAATATCAGGTTTCAGGTCAGTTGCACTTGCCAATGTTTTTTTTCTTTCTGTTTTGCTCTCCAGTTATTAAGAAGTTTATCTGTTTAACATAAAAACTATAACATTTAATATTTGTAAATGTGTGACTTCAATTCTGTTGTTCATCTGTTTCAGGAAATGTGCAATGATTTCAGCTCACTATGGCATGAGTGATGTGTTTGACAACCTTGTGATATCCCTGTGCAAATTCACTACACTACTCAGCTCAATTGAGGTAAGACCTCAGCCTTATCTTAGTCTTGTATGGCTTGTATATCCATCTCAAAAATAAGGAAATGACATATCAACTATTATGATATGAAAGAGTTGGTTGGTCCTTAGCTTTTAACCTTATACCATGAACTTACACTTTATAATTGATGTTCACAGTTATCAAAACAAGAATGTTGCGTTATAATAACAAGACAAAAACACATTTTATCTTATCATTTGATTTTTCAGGCCCCGGAAAACATTCCTGTTACATTTGGTGTCAACTTCAAGGCCCAGCTGGCAGGCCGTACTGTGTTTGGGCTGGCACACAGACATGGGGATATACTGAGGGAAGGCTGGAAGAACATCCTGGACTGTATGCTGCAACTGTTCAGAGCCAAACTTCTACCAAAAGCCATGATAGAGGTCAGGCACAATAATCATCAAGCTATTGTTCAGTCACTTTTTTCAGGGGCGGTCTGGTAGCCTTGTGGTTATAGTGTTCGCTTGTCACGCCAAAGACCCGGGTTCAATTCACGACATGGGTACAATGTGTGAAGCCAATTTCTGGTGTCCCCTGCTGTGATATTGCTGGAATATTGCTTAAAGTGGCGTAAAATCAATCTCACTTACTCACTTTTTTCAAGTGGAGCAATATTAACATAAATAAGTTTCCAGTCTGGACATGCATATTGGGAATGCCCTGATTTTATGTAAAAAAAATCATATTTGTTCTTTAAGTTATCAACACAGAGTTGTCAGTTTGATTTGTGATGTATTGATTTGAGTCTATTTGTTATGTCCCAAAGGTTGAAGACTTTGCAGATTCAAGTGGAAAAATTTCCATTGTAAGAGAAGACAATACAGCTAACCAAAGGTACTAAGTTAAGTTATTGTAAAATTTATATTTGGAATTGCCATGAAAATTACAAAATAGATAGAATGGATTTTCTGGGATATATGTTAATAATATTCGTAAATATTGAGAGCAACTCAAACTTCAAGTAGGCCTAATTGGTTGCTAAACATAAACATTACCTGTCTTCAGCAAGTTTATTTCTTCATCACTAGTGGTAGCAAATTGTCTCTGTGCCCTTTAACTGCTCAACTGACACTCCCATCTTCAGATCCGATTCCGGAGTGTTGAGCAGCTTCTACTCCTACTTCTCCCTGTCCGAGTCATCCAATCAAAAAGGACCATCACTGGAAGACCAGGAGTCCATCAAACAAGCTCAGAGCTGCATCCGGGACTGTCATCTTGACCAGCTTATTATAGACAGCAAGTTCCTCCGAGAAGACTCACTTCAAGAACTGGTCAAGGTTAGTGTGGGGTCATTGTCATTGTATTGCTATATGACACAAACACATTCTGTTGGTTTTCCTTAAAGCAGCTTTATTACAAGCACTGTCATAACAGTGATGTTTTTGGAAAAGTTAAGGGAAACTTCTAAATCACGTTAAATTTGCTATGTATTTTCCAATGTGTGTATGCTGGTAAGGGTAAAGAACTGCTCTCTGAAGTTTCTTTGTTGTGGAGATTAATTATCTTTCTCATTCTACATATGTGAAGAAGCACTTTTATTTCTATTGCCCTTGTGTGATTCAGTACTTGATCCCTAAAGCTTTGTGAAAACCCATTCATTCTCTCACTTTTGTCTGCACGTGCAAATTTACCTTCTTCCCCAATGTATCATAGATCTGCTGTGATGTTGCAAGGTTGTTGTGACCCTGGTAATATCATTATCACTATCATGATACAATTGTGTGTCATTCAGGCGCTGATCGTGGCGTGCCAAGGCTCCGAGGACGGGTCTACCATGGGGCTCCAGTATGATGAAGATGCAGCAGTCTTCTTCCTGGAGCTGCTCATCAAGGTGGTGCTGCAGAACAGGTATGTACTTCTCTTGTGTGATATGCTGCAGAACAGGTACTTGTCTTGTGTGATATGCTGCAGAACAGGTACTAGTCTTGTTTGATCTGCTGCAGAACAGGTACTTGTCTTGTGTGACATGCTGCAGAACAGGTACTTGTCTTGTGTGATATGCTGCAGAACAGGTACTTGTCTTGTGGGATATGCTGCAGAACAGGTACTTGTCTTGTGTGATATGCTGCAGAACAGGTACTTGTCTTGTTTAATATGCTGCAGAACAGGTACTTGTCTTGTGTGACATGCTGCAGAACAGGTACTTGTCTTGTGTGATATGCTGCAGAACAGGTACTTGTCTTGTGGGATATGCTGCAGAACAGGTACTTGTCTTGTGTGATATGCTGCAGAACAGGTACTTGTCTGGAGCGATATGTTGAAGAACAGGTACTTGTCTTGTTTAATATGCTGCAGAACAGGTACTTGTCTTGTGTGACATGCTGCAGAACAGGTACTTGTCTTGTGGGATATGCTGCAGAACAGGTAATTGTCTTGTGTGATATGCTGCAGAACAGGTACTTGTCTGGAGCGATATGTTGAAGAACAGGTACTTGTCTTGTGTCATATGCTGCAGAACAGGTTGATCTACTACAGGGAGGTTACTCTTAATTCTTGGTTGTATATAATCCATGCTTTCACCCTTGTTTGCAGAGATCGAGTGTCCCCCATCTGGCAGGCTGTGAGGGACTTTCTCTACAATGTGATTGTCAATGCTAATGAGCACACATTCTTAAACGAGCGTGCTGTAGTTGGACTGCTTCGATTGGCTGTGAGATTATTACGTAGGGAGGAAATTGCTTCTCAGGTGCTCACGTCGCTCAGGATATTAATGATGATGAAACCCAATGTGATACACAGTATAAGTCGCCAGGTGGCGTTCGGACTGCATGAATTGTTGAGGACTAACGCAGCAAATATTCACTCGAGCCAGGACTGGTATACCCTGTTCATGTCGTTGGAGATAGTTGGGGCGGGAGCTAATCCTCCGCCTGTCATGCAAGTGTGTTCTGGTGTGGATGTAGGGGAGGCCATACATGATGCAGGTTAGTATATAATTATACAGTGTGCAGTAATCCATAAGTCAACACATGATTGTTTTATTTTCAAATATCATAATGGATAGCAGTGTTCGAAATGAGATATGAAAGTCCTTGTCAGAAGTCTGATGTTAAATGTTACAGATATAGGGGGGCCCTAGTTTCAAATACTATAGGGTCTAACCATAAGGATTCAAGGATCAACCTTAATTTTGAATACTGGATATTTCTTGAACATGTTGGGCAGTCATGAAATCAACCAGAAACATTTTACCCACAGGTGCCCAGAGTGACAGTGAACTTGTCAGTGAAAACTGCATGGCGGAACTGAGTGACAGGGGGTACACATCTGACAGCGAGCTGTATGAGAGTCAGAGTAAACACCATCACCATCAGCGGGGGCAGGCAGAACTACAGCTCAGACCAATACCAGACAATGGCAGCTGGCTGCTGGTAGGTCCACCTCAGAATGTCTTATCTGGTATTTTTTATGTTTGTTTGTTGTTTAGTGCCGCACTCGGTCATATTCCAGCTATGTGACAACAGTCTTCAAATGATCGAGTCTGGAACAGACAATCTAGTGATTGACATCATGAGCATTACTCTGTGGTCCTCAATTGGGATATGATGACATGCATCAAACAAGTCGGTGGGTCTAACCCCCGACCAAGCTAGTTGCCTCTTACAACAAGCATGGGTTGCTGAAGACAAATTCTAACACAGATCTTCATGGGGGTAGTTTTTTATGTACATGTGAATGCTGTTGTGAAAGTTGTGATCTACTGCATGATGAACTAGCAATAAAGTACTTGGGGACAATAAAATTATGTGAGTCAGGTTTTTGGTAGTGAGGCAAGTGGGTTTAAAATCTAATAATTTATTATGGTCTGGTGAATATCAACAGGAAAATATTTTGAATTATTCAGCCTCTTGTCACAAAAGCAAATTCAATGTGTATTGAGTGAACACAATAATTAGTGGGTGATGAGTGTGAACAGCACTTTATAGATGATCCTGTGAAGATTCCGGGGTAGAATAGGTCTTCAGCAACCCATGCTTGCCGAAATGGTGACAATGCTTGTCGTAAAAGCCGACTAACGGGATCGGGTGGACAGGCTCGCTGACTTGGTTTGATGCATGTCATCGATCCCAATTGCGTGGATCGATGCTCATAATATTAATCACTGGATTGTCTGGTCCAGACTCGATTATTTACAGACAGCCGTCATATAGCTGGTATATTGCTGAGTGCGGCGTTAAACAACAAACCAACCAACCAACCTTAGCTTAGGTATCTTTTGTGTACTGAAGTAGACAGTTGTGGTAGACTTGAGTGTGAAAGCATGTCATGTTCCCAACCCATAGTCATGTCACTCCACCCCATTGATGCTGCAGGTGAACAAAGAGGAGACCAGCAACCCTCAGCCTCCACAACGCAAGAAGTCCAACCCCATCAACCAGTTCAGCATTGACTTGAATGAAGAACTCCATTACTGTGATAGCAAAGCCCTTCTCAAGTCGTCGGAAACCCTCTCGTTCCTGGTTCGCGATGCTGCTCATGTCACTCCTCATAACTTCGAAAGCTGTGTTCATGCCATCCGCACGTTTGTTGAAGCTAGTGTTAATGGAGGTGAGTGATTAACAGAATGATCAGTGCTATCAGGTGTTCAGGAGATTCACAACGACGCAGTATCTTCCTGTGAAAAAAACTGACAGGGTTTGGGTAGCATTAAACACAACTCGCTCACTCTCAATGTGAAGGTGTTGTGATCAGTTTAAGTTCTTATCATTGACATGTTAGAGTGCAATTCTTAATAGTTGAGTTGACATTACTTTTTTTTTGTATCACAAAATATTGGACCTTTTATGACCAGTTCTGAGTATCACAAAGTTGTGACAATTGTAACTCCCATGTGTAAACATCGACTTGCAACAGTTGTAGTGCCAAGATCACTTTGTGTGATAATAATAATCCCCGTGCATGTGTGCGTGTATGAATAAATAAATATAACATTTTTTCAAGAAATATCATTTAATTAAGTGAGGTCTTATTTGGCTTACAGAAAAATGAATGAAAGAAGCACCAAAAACGTTCTTTAAGCTACGACATCACTGCACTGTATGATGCCACCAATGAAATGTTATGGCACAACTTTTTTAAGAAATTGAGGGAAATGTGATCGTACTTATCCATTTACTCGAAACTTGCACTCTCACCTACAGAAGTTCCATTAGATGATCATTTTGTCCATGTGTGGTAAACATATTTAAGAAGGTTAAGTACTATTAGTTTTACTTAGAGCAAAACAGTAAGTCCACCATGTCTCTAAAGTAAATTATCAATTGGCGCCTTTCTTTTTGCAAATGTTAACTTAGGTATTGTGATAATCTATGACATTTAATCTGTCTCATAAAAAGTTAATTTCTCTTAGTACAGATCAGCAGACATCATTAATAATCCGTTCTGTAATCATGATGATTGTGAATATAATTTAGTGTGAAACCAACAAACAAGAACAAAAATGGGGAACAATTAACATTTGTATTATAAACTTAACTTGGCTTAAGTACTGCTCAGAAATTACAGTGGCAGTACACAATAGAGTGGCAGATCAAACTTCAATGGCAGTACAACTACAATGGCAGTAAGATATAATATCAGGATATTTACCTAGCAGCAACAGTGATCAAGCTTCCCAAGGCTTAGCCTGGGTATTCAGCGTGAAAACAAATACCTTCACGAATCATCTGGTCTTGATGTAATGTGAGATGTAATCCGAGTTAAGAGAGACACGCACTTACCCCATATATAGTCAAATCCCTTCTGGAATGTTCTTTTCAGTGCTGGTTTAGACTAGCTGTTCCAGAACATTCCAGATTACACTAAATATAGTTGCTTCTACACCACTGCTTACATTAGATAGTACTACATTCCTGACAACTCACCAGTGTCAAAGGTTATGTGTCAAAACACAATGCTATAAACTTCTACTGAATCTTAACAGAGACAATGTAATGAACGTGACTTTAACTCAATTTCCCCTCGACTCCCCCCTCAGCTCCCCCCCTCACCTCCCCATATATTTACTAGGGGTGAAACGATACATCGGTGCACCGGTGCATTGAGAGTTTTCATGCGACGAACACGATACTTTCCTTTTATCGATACAAGACAATGCACTTGCTAAAATAAATTATGTACTACTCATTTAATGACTACTAGCATTTTTGTCAGTCAAATATCGCAAAACATGTGGAAATTAGTTTCAAGTTGGCTGCTAAAAATAGCTGCTAAGAACGTGTGTCTACTGCTAGCTTTTCTCGTTAAAGCTGCTCTGAAATATTTGTGCTCAAGAAGCTTCAACGTGATTTAATGTAAATATGTGTATCGCGATGCATGTTGTGATTTGACCTATGTATTGTGTCGTGACCTTGCTGTATTGTTTCACCCCTAATATTTACATATAATTTATTCCCCTGAAAGGCCATCTTAAGTCATTACCTCAAAACAAAGAAAGAAGATCACATAGGATTCCCCGATCAAAGAGAAACAGCAACAAGTCGATGAAGAAGTCCCAGTCCTCTCCCAGTGAGTTATCTCACATGACCAATTCAGGTGATGAGGCTGAAGGCGAGGGAATGACCGTTGGCCTGCACTCACTGTCAATCCAGCTGCTGGACCTCATGCACACGTTACACACACGGGCAGCGACCATCTTCAGCTCCTGGGCGGAGGAGGAAGAGAAAGAGGAAGCAGCTGTGAAGATTGATGCAGGGACCAGCACACTATGGGGCAAGTGCTGGTGTCCCCTCCTGCAAGGTGAGCTGTATTATTCATCATTGAGGGGTGGTGGGGTGGCCTAGTGGTTAAATTGTTCGCTCATCACACTGAGGGCCCGGGTTTGATTCCCGACATGGGTACAATGTGTGAAGCCCATTTATGGTGTTCCCTGCCGTGATATTGCTGGAATTTTGCTAAAAGCGGTGTACTTACACTCTATTCATCATTGAAAATGAATAATAGTCAAAAGTGAAATCTTGAAAGTGTTAGGGAGTGCTTGTCGTAATCCTAGTTCTAAAATGAAAGATTTTTTGGACACCCAAGATACCTAAAAAATAACAGAACTCCCTTGAATAAGCAATAGTTGACTGAGAATTCCATTTCTGGTAGGAATTCTCAACCCTTTTTAATCTTTGATGCCAATAATAGTCAAGACAAATGACATGAAATACAATTTGTGTTGTAAAGCACTTTAAAGAAACAGGGAACTGTGTTTGCACTAATCCATGGATATGATAGAGGTCAGTATCAATAGTTAATGTGCTGTAGTTGTTGGTTTGTATGACCAGCAGATGTAGATGAGTGATCTGTAAGAAAAATGTTTCCTGCCTCTAGGTATAGCTCGCTTGTGTTGTGACGGCCGACGACAAGTGCGGAGCCAGGCACTGACATACCTACAGAGGGCGCTGCTGGTACACGACCTGCAGACTCTTTCAGCCGTGGAGTGGGAGGCATGCTTCAACAAGGTAAATAACTATCTTCCAGCTCAAGATTTAATCCTCAAGTTCCTGACAAGTATAATGTTTTAGATTGATTTCTACTAATAAGATTCAGTGAAATATATTACAAATTTTGTTCAAAATACATCGCCTTTATGTTGAGCTAGATCTTTACCTCACTACAGGCATTGTCACATATAGAACCAATTTATGGTCAATTAATAATAACTATTATCATATACCTATCAATTATATGAAACATTTTGCATGTACGATAGAGAAAACATTTTCACATATCTTAGTGTGTCATATGCTTGCTGAGGTTTCACGTGATAATGTCTTCAAAGCAAGGGGAAAATGTATTGCTTTCACTTGCAAATAGAAACATTTTACAAATTCATGTTGTGGTATGTGATAAAAAAGGTTATTATATGGCAGTTTTTATGTCGTACCCCATATCAGTTTTCATATCATACCCCATATCAACCCTTGGCCTCAATATCAGCCCAGTGAGTATTAGCTTGTGATTAGATGGTTCCACCCAGTTTCAGAAGGTGATGAAATACAATTCAAAAGATGATTGTTTTCTTCAAAACCATACTGTCCACACCATCAGCCGTGAAACAAATGATAGCTAATTTTGGACACCAATGTCCCCAGATATTCCTAGTTGCCTCAATTTAAGGTTGGCATCTGTGCAATTGTCATTGGGTTTAGTTCCATGCAATTGGCCCTGAATCAGGTAGGTTTTCATCTTTCAGAAATATCAGAATATATTGTAAACTAGTTATGCTGTTGTTCTTACTTTCTTACAAGGCATGTGACTAGATGTAGATTATAACATTGAGGTAGAGACTTAAATAAGAGGCTATATTAGGTGTTAAACATGTAACCTGTTCTGCTCCACACACTTACTCAACATGTATTGCCCTGATTGGTGATGAGTGGAGATAGTCATGCGACGTGTGTAGTGACTGTGCCCTGGTTGCAGGTGCTGTTCCCGCTTCTGACGAAGCTGCTTGAGAACATCAACCCACAGGACCCGGCCGGCATGGAGGAAACACGCATGAGAGCCTCAACTCTACTATGCAAGGTGACGACGTAATCATGAGATGGAAAATATTTCATTTGCTCCTGTTAAGTCTTAAGACTTCCCAAAGAGTTAATTTATTGATCTTAATGCTAGAGTTGCCCTTAGTGCTAAAATTGCACTCGAACCCATTTGACAGGCCACATGCTCAGCTATAGCATATACATCTAGTGTCTGCTTTTATGAATCATGTCAAAACTCTGAGCAATTGAATCTTGAGTAACTGTACCCTTTGTGCAACAACTTGTCAATGTTTCAGATTTGTTCAGTTAGGAAACACATGGCATGTACTTTTATTTTTTCCTAATGGAAACGATAAATTTATTTAGGTATGTTTGCTTGTCATTTATCAATGATCCATTATCCATGAAACGTGCTAAATGTCCCTCATTTGTCAAGAAGGCCACATGCCCAACAACACATTAAACGACTTTTCTGACACAAGGTGTTCCTGCAACATCTGACTCCACTGCTGTCGCTGACAACATTCACAGCTCTCTGGCTGACTATTCTCGACTTCATGGAGAAATACATGAAGGCTGATCGCAGTGACTTGTTGGTAGGTTACGTTCATAGATTAGGCGAAAGGAAATGTATATTAAAACCAGAAATGGATCACAGGCAGTCGGTGCACTTTAAACCTATGTATCTGACCATTATTTCTATTTTAATAATGTGTTTGGTTTCTTGAAAAAGACTTCCCTCTCTCAAAACATAAATATGCTGAGAATCCATTGATTATTTTTTCTGCAGCCTTAGATATAAATTTGACTCAAATGTCATTAATGTCTGTGAAAGTTCAGCTTGAAATTTGAGCGGTCCTTGTCATAACCCCAAAGTTAAATGTTACATATGTTGAATTTTGTTTTTAAGACTGGTTGATATGTACAGATCAATTCATGAAGGTTTTGTTTGTGTGTTCTTAATGCTTGAGCAGTTTCTGTAGCTTGGTGTCCATGTTGTTAAATATGAAATCTTATTTTTTAAAGAGGAAATACCTTTAAATGGTAGTTACCTATATTCAGCTGGAAACATTGTATGCTGAGCTGGAACCATTCTTGAAATGTGTTCGTGAGTGATCATCTAAGAAATGGCATCCCTTCATTGTTGTGTCTGTTGTCCAGTCGGAAGCTATCCCCGAGTCCCTGAAGAACATGTTGTTGGTGATGGATACAGCCGGAATCTTCCAGACCGGAGACGGACGGGAGTCCCAGTTCTGGAAACTCACCTGGGACAAAATAGACACCTTCTTACCTCATCTCAAAGAAGAGCTCTTCAAGCCATTTGAACCTGGTATGACTTTGCTGAACATTTTCTTGGTCACTTCTTAATATGGCTTTATATGGTTTTTCAAACGCCCACAAGAGTTTGTCATGACCTTTGTTCCGACTCGGTTGTTTCAGAGAATATTGTGGCACTGTGTTAATATCCACAATAATACCAGTTTGAATGAAACAATGCAAACATGACATGTTGGTGCAGCATTAATGTAATGCTAAAAAATAAGTATTGTTGTGTTTGTGGTAACAAAATGACCAATTATTTCCTATTATCCCCTGCCACGTAGTGGGGCTGGGGATACTGGAACGGAGTTCGTCCATCCGTCCTCCAATTCGTCCATCCGGTTCTCAAAGGGGACAATTTTCTCAAAAACTATTGAAGTCAGTGAACTGAAATTTTGCACACTGTAGTTTATGGTCATGATCTCAAATGAGTTCGAAAATTGATGTCGTAAATTCGTCTTATGTCATTCTTTTATTATATAGACAATGAAGTTCAAATAATGATTGTTGAACTTTACAGAACACAGGCGTATAGGCCGTACTGGGACAAGTCCACCAGCAGCATCTCAGGCTGAGTATGTTGAGAGTCTGCCTACATCACAAGCACCTGCTGCCCAGGCTGCCCCACAACCAGCAGAAGTTGACTGTCCCCCACTTCAGGGCATCACTGTCATCAGGGACACACGACCAGGTGAGCTACACACTGCAACACACCATATTTGCAATGTAAATTCAGCCTGGCAAATATATAGTTTCTTAGCTTTTAGCTCACAAACAAAGGTTTCAGCATATCATCTAAAATAAATTGTATGACCCTGAAACCATGCCAGCTATGGCATGTTTGGTGTCTTTAAAAGTCCTGATCTGATTTTTCTTTATAGCCCAGCTATGACCTTTCACCTTCACATCTGCCTCCTCCCCCACCCCATCAATGTGTACCTTTTGAGTTGTAGGCTTTATCTTAGCACAGCAGTTTACGTTTCATGTAGCCTCATGTTGTAAATGGATCACACACAGAATATCCATGGCTATATAATGAAAGTGAAATGACATGTATTACTGGTATTGTTATTGGTCCAACCGGCAAGATTTGGAAATGTCCAATATATATTTGTCCCTATGACAGGGTAGATATAAAAACAACTACAGGTTGACCTAAACACATTTGATTTAATAGTTGTTATGCATTCACATTTAAAACAATCCAGTAACATGAATTATAGACAACTTGATGAAGTCCCATGATGACGTCATCTTTTTCGTTGAGTCAGACATTCTTGTAAATATAATCCAGACTCAATTATTTACAGACTGCCGTCATATAGCTGGAATATTGCTGAGTGCAGCATAAAACAACAAACCAACCAAATATAATCATAGGTTTGTCCCATCAAAATTCATAATCATTCCAAACCACCTTGTTTCAGAATACAGTGCGCCATCTCCTCCACGTCCCAGCAGCCCACTGATGTCGCAGCCGGACCCGTCTCCAGCCGGCACCTCCTACATCCTCCAACCACCCTTGCCAACAGTTACCTCCCTTGCGTCCTCCCAACCTAGTCCTCCAGGTAGCTCGGCAGTCCCATGTGGGGCCAGCGCCAGCCCCGCCCATATTCCTCTTCTGTTAAACCCAGACATCATGCAGAGCACTACTGTTCCTTATATAACTCCGCAAGTAAGTACTGGGCCTGGTGTTACCTCCCATCACTACCTGCATCCGTCTATTGCTACTGGCCTATATGCACCTTCCACTTTTGGCTTTGTGTGATAAAAATAATGTAGCAAAAATACAGAACTGAAAGAATAGGTCCCTTATCAGCTTACAAGTTGTCATTGAGTTTGTTGAAAGTAAAGTCAACTGAACAGAAAGAATCATTCAGCATGAAAAACAATTCCCATACTTGTTTGTGAACAGGTTCACAGTGCTAAGCATTATGTGTGCATGATAGTTGTAGCGCCATGCGTAACTGCAGGAACTACTGAGTGTTATATTACATGGTTTTATTCTTGCAGTTCTAACATTGAACTTCTGCAATGTATGTTTGCATGTTGCATGAACCTTTAACCTTGAATAACGTAGTTAGCAACTAATACCCAACATACAGTGTATTTATATTTACTTGTCATATATATTATGCATGCTTTGAGTCCATGTTAAAATACGCTGCCTTGTCATTATTGCTTAGTGAAGTTTATCCTGTTACTGTGCTGTATTCATATTGTAAGGCATTGATAGCATTGTATTTGCTGGTATGGACATTTCTTTGATGGATAAGGGCCCATCGGATTTTATTCGATATGGATGAAAGCTGGTTAAAGCTTAACACTTAGATTCACTGTGTGTGGATTTCCGAGTAGGGTAGGTGACTAACACCTGGTACCTGGTAACCCACCATGTAGTTTATGTTGCTGAATACAGCAAGAATCACTAGTCCGTCACGCACTCATTGAAGTCGGTTGGATCAAGATGTAAAGGACATTCACACCGTGGGCTGTTGGAAGCCACATTTAGCACAGTTGATGCTTTCCTGGTTTATCGCCATTGCTGGAACTAGCTGAATATAAGTACCAGGCATTAGAGAAAACCTGAAAGAATGCTGGTGTATGGGGAATATGAGATCATTTATTTATGTTATATATTAATAGCAGGTCATATCTAAGTTAACAACAGAAACTGGAAAAAGAAATAGATTAGTCAAGTATTAACTTGCATACTCTGCAGGATTAAAGGAACCACTACCGAGATAGTGCAGTGAATTTATCACTTGAATTTGAAAACCCTTTGTCAACATTGCTCTGTGGTAGTTACTAGGATTAAATGATGAGAGATTATAATAACTTTGTATATTGTGTGAACTTGAGTCATGGTCCCCCAGTTTAGATTGGATCTGGATAAGTGTTGATAATTTCCCTGGGAAATTCCTATAATTTGAAACACTTACAGATGACTTAAATCAACAGAAGCTTACATTTTTATGGATGTTCCCGAATTAAAATAGAAACTGTATCATTAAATAATGCCAAAATACCTATTGTATTCTAACAAAACTTACACACGCCTGTAGCTTATATAAAGATAGCTACTGCTCTTAGTCTACTTTTCTCAACAATGTTACAATATGCATGCTTTTAACTGTTAATTATTTACTGTACAAGGCCTGTGTCTGCATGTACAATATATTTATGACATCATGTGTATATGTATTTTTGAACAGTTTAACTTTAATACCTTGGTGTAAATGACGAACAATTAATATCATTGTATATACAGGACTTTAAAGTTACAAATGAACTGAAAACCAGCACTTCCAACTGATGATTTGTCTGACTGTGTCAATTCAAGTGTTTTTTGAGTTTATCAAATCATGTTGATAATGTTGATACACAACAAATAGCATGTTCATGTAGTCTTAAAAAGATCATTTTCTAAATGGAGTGTTGAATTTTGAAAACATGTCTGGTAAAAGTACTAAAACTTCAACAATAACAAAAGTAGGACTGTTGATATTATGTATTGAGTGCATGAAGTGAAGGTACTTGCTGTTTCTTCCAGATAGCGGAGAGTCCACGTCCCCTGGTCAGCGACAGCCAATGATGCTGGGGACCTCGTCCAGGCAGTCCCCTGTCATCCATACAATATAACCACACCTCATTGTCCAGTACCACCACAAGATTAACATTACTGTCGCCATACGAAAGACTTTAAGCCAACACCTGCTCCAGATACAAGAATCTGCCTTTTAGAATGTTGCATGTCATACACAGACAATAATGCTTCTTCAAATTAGTAGTCTTCTCTCTGAAGTGTCCAAGGGTTTTATTTCATGATGTGGTGGGAATTGTGTTGAGGTGATGTTCATGTGGACCTTGGAAAACGAGAAGGCACTCATATAATCAGGAGCCATTTGTGACAAAACATTTTCAGCTGTACAAGACCACTGTGGACTGGAGACTTCGTCCTGTTGAACAAGGCTTCTATTATTCATGTGAACAATGTTTGACTTGTTGTTGGCCAGATGGGCTAATGTCAGCCAATCGGAAAACTTTGTCCATTCCTGACTATTTGTTGTTCACATGGATTTCAGGATAAGATTAGCACAGGCAGTATAATTTAATCAAAAGTTAAGCCCAAGTGATCCTATTCCATGGCCAAAGATAAGATGACAAGATTAATTTGAAGACTTGTTAGAAATCAGAGCTTTGTATCCATAACAATAGTGAAATTTTTCTATTTTCGAGAAGGTTAAGGTGGTTTTATGTAAGCCTTCCAGTCGATCCCGAAATAGAAATGTGCATATTTGTTTTGTATGAAAATTATTTTGGGGTCATTGGGACAAACTGCATTTACACCATATTAGCTGAAGTTATTTGAACACACAACATCGTGATGATGTTTTATGTTTTTTTGTAATTTCCAGTCTTGTTTGATATTAGAGTTGAGAATTTGACTCTTATGCATGGAAACTGTCCATTTTTCAGGAAAGTTAAAAATGTTGGTACTCTTGGAGTACTTAGACCTGTTATGCACAATCTCAAAAATTAGATTATTTATTTACTTCACATATGCAATGTATAATATTCAGATTAATATATTTTACCACACACATTTTGTATGATCTATCTCGTACAAATGTATAAATTTAGAAGGGAACAGGTCTGTTGAAGTTGTGTCATGGCAGACCTTAGGCTTCTTTATGAAATTATTTTAATCTTATACATTAGGATTGTCCTGAGTTTTCACACAGTGTTATATTTATGACAGCTTTGGTGAAAGTCAATATGTATTACTGCAAACACAATTTCTTTTAGGGATAATATTTGGTTTTGTTCATGTGTTTTTGTCAGCTTCATCTGATTGTGAGTATTTCATCCAGTTACCATGTCTCCATCCTCAGTTCACAGTGGCTTGGTGGTGATGCCTCTTAAGCTTCTGAATAATGGTTCATGTTTTCCGTCTCTACTTACTGTTATTCACTCTGTGTGTATCAGTCGTCAGGTTTTTCTGTGTTTTCTGTGATTGTCATCGATCATCTTTCCTAAGGGCAGTATAAGCTATTGTTGCAAGTCGTTCGTGTTTTCAGCCAAACTTTTACGATGGACTAAGCTAATCATTCTTGTAACTATTCCTGACTACACGAAGACACTTGGGATCAGTATGTGATCTAAACTTGGAATTATATGTAATACCTACCTTAAAATAACTTGTGAAAAAAGTGTTTGTCAACATAAACTCTCTGCTATGACGAAAACAATTGATATTGATTTTTTTTCTGTAACCTCTGTCAAGAGTAATTATCTGTATCTGTGGAAACAATATAAGAGGAATAAAGTGAGATTATCATCAGTATCAACACTGAAGTCTGAAGAACAAATATGAAGTTATGCGGCATGAGATAGTTGAGTCGATATGCATACTGAAACCCCAAAGAATCAAGTTATTCCCCTGTTGGATACAGTATGATAAACCAATTATTGGGGTCGCAGTAAGGTCTTATATAGCTTATGCTTGGTTTATGAGGCTGACCTACCACAACACTGAAATTAGAAAGAAGAAAAAAAATGACTTTCACAAAATATAAATTTGTCCAACTGTTTTTTACAATTAGGTGAAATGAAAATGCATAAGAGTTTTTGTAAGTAAGGCTATAAAAAAATAATAGTCTTGCTTCTCAGGCACCGCGCACATCATCATAAAGTCTGCCACTTGTTTCGTTTGTATTTCCATTTTAATTTATTTTTTTTTAATCCTGATACTTAAAAACAATGTGATCCCAAAAAGCATACAGTCACATTCCTTTACATGCACACTGCTTTAGAGTGCATCTGGTGTTAAGGTCATGGCAGCAATAGGAGTTAGTTTATGTAGGGAGGCCCTTTCCCAGATTGATGGTACACAACTGTTTATTTGGATACATACTACATGTAGTTTGAACAAGCTGAAAAAACCACACCACCTGCCGCAATATATTTTCAAAAGTCATGTGAACCAATACTTTTAATTTTTTGAGCCTCATAAATAATACATATAAAAGTCTTCTTAACTATAGAATTCTATCTTCTATTCTAACAAAAAAGAAACCATTCAATTTTAATTAGGTATCATACTTCCATGATCGTGTGACCTACAAGTTTTTCATTTTTTGGTAGCAGTATTATTCTGGAAGTTGATCTTATTTTTTTTAATGTTTCCAAGCACTTTCACTGAATTTTAGGCAAGCATTTGTGCAAACCAACTAATAAATACTAAAAGGCCTGATATTGCTGCAGTATTGCTGAACTGGTGTCAAATTCATTGTTTTGTTCATCCATTGGTTGTATCCTGCATTCCGTGTTACTATGACGTAGTGGAGATATGAACACAGTAAGTTGCTTGAACTATCACAAGTTTATAATATTGCTCTGATGATGAATTTCAAATATTCATGCTGAAGACATATTTCATCCCATTGTTGGTACTATGAAAGTCATCCTTTATGTCTCTGTCAATGATATTGTGGATTGCTTATTTGACGTAGAACATCACTTGAGGGAAATTTCTATTCTCATGATCAAAACCCATTCCTGAAGTGAAGGATATTTGATGACCTTATCATGGTTGTGAACTAAATCATATCCACAGATGGACTAACCCAAACTTGGTCATGTTGAAACTACAATTTCATTTGCCTTCACATGAAATGCTCCTCGCATTTTGCCAGTACATCATGTGCAGTATGCTGCATGATATTTTATTTTGTTCGATGAACTTCAGAGTTCAATGTAGTAAGAAACCTACACATTCTGTTTGAGATGCTGCTTCTTTTTGTACATATCCCTCATTATTTAAAACAAATATTTGTAGATAGATTCCTCATTGTTGCCAAATCAAATTATGTTTAAACTTGAATTTTAAGAATCAGTCTTTGGATTCTTTTTATAATATATCTTGCGGTGTCACAAACATGTTGAAGGTCTAGTTAATGTACAGAGGTTCGTGTGTAGATTGTCTTGTCTCTGTTACTAGTTTGTGCCTGCATTACCACAGTGGCTTGCCAATACCCAAGCACTACACAACATAGATACTTCCATATGATCTTGGGTTATGGTAATTCCATGTAGTTAAAGTTATGATCTCTGAATGTTAGCATTGTTACTTTTCTCTTTTGGGATGCAGGTGGCCAACTAACATCTCTCTCTGCAGATTTGCATCCCTAGACATGTCAGGGTGCACTGGTTCACATGCCAGATTCGGCCTAATTATCTCAAATCTGTCGGCATCTGTGAACATTGGTTTATTCTATTGTGGTTAACTTTGAGTTTTCCCCACATTTTGAGCTGACAGGCTGTGATATATCTGAAATGCTGTCACCCATGTCACTATATCCCTCTTATGGTTTAAATGATTCGTGTACACCAGACTGGTGATCAAGAACAATCTAAGTTGAAACAGTACCTGCCATGACTAATACAAGTTCTGCAACATGTACCGTGAGGGTCAATTCTAGTCAGCATTAATCTCAGCTCATGTCATGTGGGACTGAAACTTTGTGATCTACCAAATCAGGCTATTTATTAATATCTCGGTAATATCATTAGGATTTAGAATTTTGGTCAATACCAAAGGATTCAAAATTTGCACTCTTGTTATTTAACCAACAGACTGAACTTCTAAAGAATTATTTTTCCATGAAGATTTTCAGCATGTACCAAGTAGTTTGTTCTGGTGGTAAGATATCCTTGTTACCTGAGTGTTGTAATAGTTCACCTCGTATCATGATTGTATTGTGATGAAATTATCCAATTAGGCTCATCTTCAAAATGTAGATATCATTAATGTTTTTGTAACAAAAAGAAAAGCTTTCGTCAAGGATCAATTCTCACAATTTGAAGTCTTTGACTCCTAAATATATCTACATCTACAACCTTACATCAACCTGTAAGTTCAAATGTTGATCTTTTATTGACTTTTATATATGAGTAAATTGTAACATGTTTATATTGCTGTATGGCCTGTCTTGCATTGAAACATTCTCAATTATCAGTATTTAGAGGCTTTCATACCGATCATCCCATTGTATCCATGACTTCCGCTGTGAACCTCTTGTTAGTTATTTTTGAGGATGACATTCTGCTTACCTTGAACCAATCTTCATGTCTTTTAATCAGTAGGATGCAGGAATCTTTCTAAAGCTGTCTCTTTACCCATATCAGCCTTATATGAGACCTCTTAAATGTCGAAAGGTTTCTTGTGTTCTATGAAGGCTGACCAAGTGAGTGGTAAGTAAAAATTCTTTCACTTACAAGCTCTTCATTGAATTATGAGAAACTTCCTTAAAAGAAAATTACTTTCACTCCTTCACTTTTCAAGTGACCAGAGGAAATTGTAAAATGAAATTGTACGCCAGCATTCAAACTTCAGACTATTCATGTGAAAGAGCTCTTACATTTCTTACTGTTACACTCCTAGCATGTTTTGTCAAATGATAAATTTATGAAATATTAATGTGCAGTCCTATTTGGTTTGGAAACCTCTTTGTGTGGGGGGAGCCAGTGCAGACTCTGTGGCACCTCACCCTGTGCAATAGCATCTCCTTGTTACTTCTGTACATTTGTGAGTACATCCGTTGTTGAAGATATAATCCTGTGAAATATGTACAGTAATAATTGTGATATTGTACAGATCTGGTGTCTTATATCACAGAAAGAACATATTTTAATCCAGTATTCTACATTTATTGCTGTTGTATACAGTTTAACATGGTGAACGTGTTAACTTGTAGATTAATTTAACTGGATGTGTCAAATAAACCATGAAAAACAAGGATCACAAATTTGTTATTATTGCTATTCTTATGTACATATCTTGACCTGTACTTTATAATAATAGAATTACCATAGTGTACTGTTCAACATTAAATGTGCTAGAGGTATCAAACTGTTTTATATATAAGGATTGATTGAGTTCAGAGCCTCACATCGAAGGAATTGTGTTACTGAAATCTTTTGTTGTGGACATTGTATGATACTATAGAGGTATATCAAAAAAAAATTGAGTTAGTTGAGCAAATGGTTTCGCTATGAAATGTCAGTAAAATAAGCAGGAATCTGTTACAAAACCAAAAAGCCATGCATGAAGGTATGAGTACAACACTAGAGAAGGATGCCCTTCCTATGCCACCGTAAAGAGGTGGGCAGCAGTTTAATTTAAGCCTTTTAGGGGAACCTTGAAGATGAGCCCTGTCGCGTTAGCAACACCAGAAATGATCCAGAGAATCCGATTATGGTGATGACCAACCGGCAAATGACTGAGCATCATTTTGCTAGCTCAGAAGGCATTTCCCAGGAGAGTACATTCTATTATCATGAATTAATGAAGAAAGTACTGGGTATTGCCAAAGCTGGCACCAAACTTATTTGACATCGACACCACCAAAGAAGGCGAAGGCTCTCCCATCAGTTGGAAAGGTTATGGCCTCCGTTTCTCGGATGCCGAGGGTGTCATCATGGTGGACACCTTTCCAAAAGTACAGTCAATAGACAGAGCCTATGATGCTGCACGTTTCAGGCAATTACGGGATAAAATGAAGACTAAGCGACGTGGCGACAGTCCTTCCAGTGTGGCTTTGAACCCATTCAACACCCATCTAATACCCCGTTCACATACACAACATTAACTAACGTAAGTAATTTTACACATATGTAACTATACGTACGTGCGTATATGTAAATTTACTATGCGTTCACATGAAAAGCGTCTCAGGTGTGTACAATAAGTATGTTAATTGTGTAAGGCAAACATATAATCGTCAGTCTGTTCACGACTTTCAACACAAACTGGTTGTTTTCCAATCAAAGTCAAATGAAAAGATAGTTACTTCACCGAAAATTTTCGCGTGAAGCAACATGTGTTTGATTTAATTTGTACACAAATTTTTGACTCCTTGAAACCAAAAGAAAACACCGTCCGCTCCACCCTGCATATACGCATAAAAGTTGGCAACTGTTGACAATTTGTTTGGTGTAGGCAAAGAACAGATATTAATTAGATCATCATGTTACGTTGACATAAACGTTCACATTGCAGCATATACACACAGGGCAAATTTACATTTACATTAGCACCTGCTCCAGAAATGCAAATTTGCTCCTGGTGTAAATATACAAACATCTGTAAACGCGTTTACATGACAAGTATACTCACGTATGTATTTCTAAACACGTATGCACATATACACACATATGTATAGAGGCGCATGTGAACAGGGTATTACTCTCCTGATCTGGTTCAAACATGAAGAAAGCTCTAGCCGGAATCCATTTTGACTCGGAAAGAAGACGTCATGGCAGTTGTTCAGAACCTTTTGGACAGCCAAGAGAAGGCCTTCGAAAAAACTGGGATAAAATCAGCCCCAACATCGCAAGCAAAACTGTATCAATGTATCAAGAAAAGCCAGAGTTCTCGAAAAAACACACAAAAAGGTTTGTATCAAAGTATTTTTAAATGGTTATGGGCAATATTTGTCAACGATCAAGGTCAGCGTTCAGGTTGTGTAAACATGATTATATCATTGTCATTTTCTGAGGCATGGTGTCCCCTGCGGGCATAAATCTTTGTTTGCATGAATGTAAAGAAATCCTTGAAACATCAAAATGTCAGTTGCATTTATGGCAAATGTCAAGTTCACCTTTGAGGCCACCTTTGTCAAAGGTAGTTGTATAATATTTCTCTTGAATATTGTGCAAAGAACATTGACTTTAAAGGATACCCTGCATGGGTATTGGGAATTCGCTTGGCACATGCATTGAGAAGGTCATAGGTCAAGGTCACGAACTGGAGATAGAAAGTAACCTGTTTGTGGTTATACAATCTGCATGTATCATTAAACTTAGTGTAGAGCGTCTCCAGAATCGGGCCCTGCATTGAAAATATTTTGGTCATATTAGTCAAAAGTCGAGGTCAGCACTGATGATTTTGTAAAACATGGTGATATCATTGTCAGGCACGGTTACCGCTACTGCAATGAACTTCATATTTGCATGTGTCTTCACAACTCCTACCACATCTAATGATGCTTATCAAAGGGCAAGGTCGTCTTTGATGTTATTGTGAAATATGGTTGTAACATCCCCGTGAAGATCCGTGTAGAGAATAGGTCTTCAGCAACTCATGCTTGCCATAAGAGGAGTCTAGCGGGACGGGTGATCAGGCTCACTGACTCGGTTGATGCAAGTCATTGTATCCCAATCGCGTGGTTCGATGCTTATGATTTGCCTGGTCCATACTCGAATATGTACAGAGCGACGTCGTATAGCTGGAATATTGCTAAGTGCGGCTTAAACAACAACACCAACAACATTCATTGCAAGTTACTGTTGCACTTTTGCTTGTTTGCTTGTACACTACTGAGATTTGGTAAACTTGGATCTTCAGAAGTTGTCATGATTAGGGCCAAGGTCTGGTAATAATGTTTTCGGAATGGAAGTACATATTGATCGTACATATATATTTAAAGACTTTAGAAGTTACGAGGAAATGGCCGTGAATGTGCTGCTTCTGTTTTTTTTTGGGGGGGGGGGGCACGGGTGGCCCAGTCGTCTAAGGCGCCGCGATTCGCTGTGCAGAGTTGCGTCCCTTGGGCACGCCAGAAACCTATGATTGTGGGTTCGAATCCCGGTTCGCCCCGATTATGTTTCTAGGTTTGTCAGCATACCCGTACCCGTGCTCGTGGGTTTCACCGAAGTGGTAAACGTCTGAGACCTGCATCACTTCGGGCTTTCCTCCCACATTGAGCTGACACGCCGCGATATAACTTGAATACTGTTAAAAGAGGAGTTAAACCCAACTTACTCACTCACTCACTCACTCAAAGTGTTTGGGATTCCGGGTTAAAATAGGTCCCCGGCGACGGTAAGAGGTGATCAAATGGATCGGGTGGTCAGGTTCGGTGACGTTGTTGATAACGTGTCCTCGTAACCCGACGGCGTTGATCGTTGCTTACAATGTCAACCACTGAAGTTGTCTGGTCCAAACCCGATTATTGTCAGGCCGGAATATAACTGGAATACCGCCGAGTGCAGCTCTAAACAACAAACTGTTGCAGGTCTCCACGTTTAATTTTGTGGTATGTATGGGAAGTCATACATCATATATTCCTTAAGATCACTGACAATATTTAGTAGTTTACAAACGGTGCACACACTGTTTTTACTCATGATTGGCGTGTAGGATAACCGAAAGAGGAGTTGAAGATTGCATAAGTTCAAAAGCGGCTTCATTATTATAGCCATAACGAAAAAGAAGAAGACATTTTGAACCTTAATTCTATTAACTGTAGAAGAACTCATTGAAATATGAGTTGTTGTTGTTGCATTAGGTGTTTAAGAGGTCGCCTTCTGCCTAGGCAATTTCGGCTGAAATATGAGACTACACAATGACTTTATCTACTCTGGCATATCCAATGGGAAGCATTCATGACAAGCTCCACGTTTCGACGTTGCTTGGCTCCAATGAAATGGTGGTGGTATAGTGACCAAGATTGATGTTTTACAAAAACGTCTCTGCATCTCCCTTAGGGTCCATCTGACTGCTCCCTGCACGTGATTTGTTGTATTTCTGAAGTGGAAAGACGCATTACTTAACTGATAGTCCGAGTAACATGGCAGTTTTTTAGTATGAATGATCATAAGGCGTGGTGTATTCTATTTCGGTTTGAAGTGAAGATGACATGCATACTTAAAGGTTGTATGATGGTGTCTGGGGTTGAACATAAATGTGCATTTATCATTTCTTTATCATACCCGTCATACTTCAGACTGATTTTTCCCTGGCGTTGACGTTTTATATGAAGAGGACAGCCGAATACGGGGCGGTCGGGTAGCCTAGTGGTTAAAGCCTTCGCTCGTCACGCCGAAGACCCGGGTTCGATTCCCGACATGGGTACAATGTGTGAAGCCTATGTCTGGTTCCCCCGCCGTTACATTGCTGGAATATTGCTCAAAAGCGGCGTAAAACCATACTCACTCAGATGTAATATACTTACCCCGTCATGTACGATGCCGAACCTGAGAGGTTTGAGAAACCATTCAGGCAAGTAAGGGAAGACTCGGTCAAACACTGGACAGATCAAACGTGGATCAAGGGACTTCGGGCTTGTAGGACCTGAATAAATTCGTATGCTTTATGATGTTACTTTCATCGTATTCGGAGGTGATAATCGAAAGGGGACAAGATTCAAAATAAATAGCAACTCGATAACCCATGGCAATAATTGTTTAATACTGTCTAAAAAGGCACCATAAAGAGTAAAAGTATATTTTTTCATGAGCGACAATTGAGTCGCATGTTGCTTGATGCCCCAAGTGTACTTCCGACACAGGTGAACAGCTGTGTCACAGGAATGAGGTGGGGTGAACCTGGATTTAACGCCACCTTCGAGATTACTGCACTTATATGGCGACGTCCATGCCAGTGTGTGGATTCGAATTTGGAATCGAACCCAAGATGCTGATGAACCACCTGCCCCCCTGGGCCCCCTAAGGTATGATACCTGTGATGACGCTGACAATGATGCCGACCACGAGTACCACACACACACCAATAGCTTGGTAGTACATGAAGGATATGGTGTAAGGGAAGTTCAGCTCAGCCCTGAAATAGAACATGGAATCTTTGTGACCAGAGTGGGTTTATATAGTTTTACATTGTCAAGCTAGTTTCTAGATTGAGGAAACGTGGAGCAAGTGGTATTTGTATGCGTGTGATAAATGTAATCATTCGGATAAAAGATGTGTCGTGGTATTAGGACCCGCTTTAGATTTCAACAGATTGTATGCTATTAACTTACAAACATAATATTTCCAATTCTTACATTTGTGACTATGAGTCCTTGAACTACGAGAGGTGATTTGTAAGTACAGATGTATACAATTTAGTTTTACATCAAGTGCTGCATGAAAGAATATTTACAGGTAAGAAACACGAAGACAGATAGCATCTTTAACATAATTGGCGAAGTCCTCAAGACAGTTTACATCAGAAGATTTTAACATTCTAACTATTATATATTTACGGCAGGTACCAGTAAGTCTAAATATGGGAAATATTTTGAGCTAATATCTTCATAATCAGGACAAACAAGAATGAAATGAACTTTATTATATTTACTGTCCTAGCTTGCACAATGGACAAAACCGGAGTCTTCTCGAGGCCATCCCTCCTGCCAGTGTTATGCATAATTCCAAGTTCTCCAATACGTAAAAGGGTAAGCATACGTCGCTATTCTTTAGATAATACATTTAATAGATACGGTTCAAGTGATACTGATGTCTTAAATAATACAGTTCTAATTTCGAGCGTCCAGGCAATGCAGAATACCATAATCTCATCTACAAAATATCGAGGGCCAGCACCTTGAAATTCCCACACATGTCCGAAGCCATGAAAATATAACATATTCCTAATAGCAGACACCCATGTATTTCTATCTAACCTAACCTAACTAACATATCGTAACACCGTTTTGGAAATCTCTCGTGAGACATATTAAGAAGCTTAAACCCTTATCTTAAACATCTTGTGTAAGAATCAATATAAATACCATATCCACCATATTCTCCGAACACTGCAACATTTGTAGACTTGGAACTAATACCCAAAACAGATTTACAAAACTTCGCTTGGAAACGTTCGAGAAACAACCATTCAGGAACACCCAAATCTCTGAACCATATAAAATACTAGATTTAATCTGAGAGTCGAACATTTTAAACAACATATTAGTCATCAGAAGCTGTGGAAAACGTTACCTCAAATGCAACGATTGCGTTACCGCAAACTAAATTGCCTGGCCAAGGTAAGTGTGCACTAGAAAATTGGATTTGACCAAACAATTACAAACCTTACTAGGCTGAACAGTAGCCCGTTGTGAGACATGTAATATAGCCTATGATACCTGTATCAGGTATATCACCATCAAATAGCCATTTCTTGTTTGTTTCAGTTTTAACCACCGTCAAACAAACATGGGTGTATGCTTTCTATTGCCTCGAAGTTTAGTATTACAGAGACAAAAGAGTCACTTTAGCTCTTATTAACCTTTTAAGTGAGTGAGTGAGTTGGGTTTAACGCCGCTTTTAACAGTATTCCAGTTATATCGCGGCGTGTCAGCTTAATGTGGGAGGAAAGCCCGAAGTGATGCAGGTCCCCGACGTTTATCACTTCGGTGAAACCCACGAGCACGGGTATGGTGCTGACAAACCTAGAAACATAATTTGGGCGAACCGGGATTCGAACCCACAATCATAGGTTTCTGGCGTGCCCAAGGGGCGCAACTCTGCACAGCGAATCGCGGCGCCTTAGACGACTGGGCTGAGTCAAGTTCCCGCACTAAAACAAACTGGACCAGACTCATCGCAGTTTGACAGTATAAGAACCTGCACTGCCGAGATGAAGGCAGGTGGTCACCCGTTTCGTATTCATAAGAAGCGGCCATCGTGACCACCCGATCCTCTTATTTATTGGCTTATATTAAGTGGGGGTTAAAACATAATACCTACTCTGAATCAAGTGGCGATGTAATGTTGATGTTTGTCGGTGTCGTCATGACTGTCGTGGTTTCCGAGGTCAAATTTGCCAGTAATGTAAGGTTCCAGTTACACCCGTCGGTGACCCGAGTTGATGACGGAGCGGGAGATCTGCCCACCTTGTGCACAAACGCCCCTACCGCGATCCACCCGGTCAATACAAACGCAGAAACAAATCCGCAGATTGCTCCCTGTCATCAAAAAGAGAACTTTTAAACATTACAAAGTGATAGATGATTCGAATTATATTTGATGTTTTACGACAGAGTGAGTGCGCTCAAACAATATCACCACGTCACCAGAACAGGGCTCAACTCATTGTACCCATGTGGGGAGTCACTGCTTGGACTTAACACTAGGCTACTCCACCGACCCCACAATAGTAGAAACTCGACTTTTAACACATACCTCAATATACTTCTTGATTGTATATATTTAACTTATATCTATTTACAAAACCTTTGAAGATTCGGGTTAGAATTGATATTCAGCAACCCATGCTTGTCAGATACATGATCATAATGTCAGTCACTGGATTATATGGTCCAGACTCGATTACATACAGACCGTCGTCATATATCTAAAACATTGCTGAGTGCGGCGTTTGAACAACAAACAAACAGTTACAATTTCTGAAAAAAATTACTCATTATGTAATTAATACCCATGATACTATTATGTCTATATATTATGTTACAAAGCACGATTAAAGTACCTAAAAAGAATACTCGCCGTAACATTAGCCCAAGGACAGAACATCCCAAGGGAAAATAATCCTAAAGTCGGACCAAGAAACACTGCCGAAACGCTTTGCACCGCCTGAAACACAGACACGAGGGCTGCAGGATTACTTCAGGTTATAATGACCTAGACATTATAGGTGCTCTCGGGTTCATCATTACACAACACCTACATAAAAGGTTTTCTATGAGTGGAATTTTAGGAGCTGAAGTGTCAGCAACGACAGAGTTGACTATGGACAAATGGAAGCCAGGAGTTCAATTAGCACTGACTGGTATTAAGAAATGGACCAAATGAAGGCAGGGGTTAATTAGCGCTGACAGGTAATTAGCAATGAGCAAATGGAAGAATGGGAGCCAGCTGGATTAATAAACCTTCCATTTATCCATTACTAATTACGAATCAGTGCTAAATCAAGTCAGTTTGTTGATAAAGCTACCCGCATCTGTACGAAATCGTCGCACTGAAAGACTGAAGAAGTCAACTCTGCCTACATACAAAATAACTAAAGAACCTTGCTCCTGAGTCATCTGTAAAAGGGTTATATCTATGCTTTTTGTGAATTATCACAGTAGGAACTGTAACCTTTTGTTCCATACTACCGAGACATGTCTGATAGTTAAATCTACATTTTAAAAAAATCACAACCTTCGGGTTTCAAAGAAGCATGCACCTTCCCCGAAGTAATCAAAGAGCGTCATGCAAGTCTTGCTCAAATGTTGGTTGACCAGGGCAACAACATCCAAATTTGACGCAACAGTGACAAAAATGACGTCTGATGCAATTCCCTATTTGACTTGTACCATATATTCCAGTGTTTTAACAGTTGAACAATTGACTTGCCTTTGCATGTGTTTGTGATGGGTGACACCGGTGGGCAGAATACGTTCACCTTTTCGTAACACCTGGTATCATCACTATTTGAATGTGATTCATAAACACATGCTTATGATAATGTCGGAATCGTACAATGGACTCGCCTCTACACTGAGTGTTCTTATGATTATTGAAAGGTTTTTGTCGCTTTTATTTACTTCACATGTGATTTTATTAATCAACTTTGAATGTGTTATATCTATGGTTTATGTGCATTATCTTTTCCGGTTTTCTTTGTACCACTCTAATTGTTTATAGTTCATGGTTTTACCTAACTTGCAAATTCAAGGACGAGTTCACACGTATTAGGTTTGTTTTTCGATATGCTTGACGACACGTAAAGCATGTGTATTCCAAGTTTATTGATTAAGAATTGAAGGTAATTCATCCATGCAATGTGATTGATGAAGAATACAATAAGAAAGACATTAAACCATTTATAATATATGAACAGTTTCATTGCAAATTATGACCTGTGATGGTGATTTTGTTCCATATAACATTGAACTGTGATGTGGAAAAAACTAATAAACCAAGGTGTATGGATCATTGACCCTTTAAACATCAACCATCGGTTACCCGAAGTGTATCCATTTACAACAATGTCCAATATTCGTGTGCTGTATATTGCTCAGAGAAGAATCATGACAATAACATGACAACAGTTGGAATTAAATGTTCATGTTAAAATATTTCAACAATAAAAACACTATTGTGACTGTTATTTAATGTTATCGTTTTTGTCACGCAAGCCAGTCTGACTTAGCGGTAGCACCCGTCACAGCAGCAGAACATGGTCGAGGATATGATGTGACAGAGAGGAGTATCTGACTATCATATAGACATTAGGGTTAACATGATTTGCTTTAAGAGCACATACCTGGAAAAGAATTCCAACTTTAGAGGCAAGAACTGCGAGGCACATTTCTATCACGCCGCACACCAACACTAAAGGCAAATTACAATAAGAATAGAAACTGCGTTGAAATATAAACAGACAATGCCTTGTACAAAGTGATCAAATGTAACATATCTTATATTAAGGATAACCCTTTTACCCTTTGAATACACTACAAATAGATCCGGGATTCGAATCAAGAATATAGTTCCTTCAACGATTGTGTGCAGTTGAATATATTTGAGTGAACTTTTAGTTACATTTGTTTTATCTTTAACATGTAAATTGACACGAAACATTTTGACCGAACTAAATTAGTGAATAGTGTGTCGATATTTGGGACGTGAGGGTAAGATGAGGTTCAGATGACCATAATTACCGACAAACTCAACACTGGGAGAGAAAGACGACACCCTAACGAGATCCAAACTGTATAAACTTTTAATGTGTTTTCATGGGTACTGGCAGTTCAATACAGCCTGTCAGAATCAGTAGCACATACATCAAGAAAGAAGAAGCTTACATTTATAATAATGTACTGACTAAAATATTTGACAAACAATACAACTTATTGAGGCCACAAAACACTCTTATGTTTCGGGTACCGCGAGACTCTCACACTGTTTGTCCATGACACCCACACACAGGCGTGCGCGATTACCTGTAGTCTTGGCAAGCCTTGTTTGTCCTTTGTCCGACAGATCCTCCAGGCAGAATGGAGTGATGAAGTCATCTGGAATCACAGTCCCCAGGGCATTCAGGACGCTGGACACGGTGCTGGTCAAGGAGATGGTGAATTTATTGTTCAGTGGCATCACATTGCCTTGTGAATAATCATATAAAGGGTGTAAGTTGATATGTATGAGAGGTGAGTGGAAATGATGTTTAACGTCGCGTCCAAGATTATTGCACTTACATAGCGACGTGCATACACGTGTGTGTGTGTGTGTGTGTGTGTGTGTGTGTGTGTGTGTGTGTGTGTGTGTGTGTGTGTGTGTGTGTGTGTGTGTGTGTGTGTGTGTGTGTGTGTGTGTGTGTGTGTGTGTGTGTGTGTGTGTGTGTGTGTGTGTGTGTGTGTCTGCTTGTACTAGTCTGGACTGATGCCGATTTATAGTGCTAGCACACTGAAATACCATGGCGCAGTTTAACATGAATACCCCACTCAGACACAATATATTTACTCCGAGCCGACCAGTCCTTTTAGTCCCTTAATGCCGAGCACCAGACAGGGTAACAACAAGAACCATCTTTTAACGTCTTTTGGTATGACGCAGGATCGAAAACCCGACCTTCCTCTATCCGGGCGGACGCTCTACCACTAGACCAGGAAGGCGGTCGATATGTATTGTACCACGCCATAGGTACATGAGAACCCCGCGATAGGTACCCGACACCCAAACACAATATGTACCTGAGACTCCCACACCGTATGTACCTGGGACTCCCACACAATATGTACCTGAGACTCCCACACAGTATGTACCTGATACTCCCACACAGTATGTACCTGAGACTCCCACACAGTATGTACCTGAGACTTCCACACAGTATGTACCTGAGACTCCCGCACAGTAAGTACCTGAGACTCCCGCACTGCATGTACCTGAGACTTCCACACAGTATGTACCTGAGACTCCCGCACTGCATGTACCTGAGACTTCCACACAGTATGTACCTGAGACTCCCACACAGTATGTACCCGAGACTCCCACACAATATGTACCTGAGACTTCCACACAGAATGTACCTGAGACTCCCGCACAGTAAGTACCTGAGACTTCCACGCAGTATGTACCTGAGACTCCCACACAGTATGTACCTGAGTCTCCCACACAGTATGTACCTGAGACTCCCACACAGTATGTACCTGAGACTCCCATACAATATGTACCTGAGACTCCCACACTGTATGTACCTGAGACTACCACACAGTATGTACCTGAGACTCATACATAATATTTACCTGAGACTTCCACGCAGTATGTACCTGAGACTCCCACACAGCATGAACCTGAGACCCCCACACAGTATGTACCTGAGACTCACATACAGTATCTACCTAAGACTCCCACACAGTATGTACCTGAGACTCCCACACATTATGTACCTGAGACTCCCACACAGTATGTACCTAAGATTCCCACACAGTATGTACATGAGACTCCCACACGGTATGTACGTGAGACTCCCACACAATAGGTACCTGAGACTACCACACAGTATGTACCCGAGACTCATACATAATATTTACCTGAGACTTCCACGCAGTATGTACCTGAGTCTCACACACAGCATGAACCTGAGACCCCCAAACAGTATGTACCTGAGACTCCCATACAATATGTACCTAAGACTCCCACACAGTATGTACCTGAGTCTCCCATACAGTATGTACCTGAGACTCCCACACAGTATGTACCTGAGACTCCCACACAGTATGTACCTGATGCTCCCACACAGTATGCACCTGAGACTCCCACACAGTATGTACCTGAGACTCCCACACAGTATGTACCTGAGACTTCCACACGGAATGTACCTAAGACTCCCACACAATATGTACCTGAGACTTCCACACAGTATGTACCTGAGACTCCCACACAGTATGTACCTGAGACTCCCACACAGTATGTACCTGAGACTCCCACACAGTATGTACCTGAGACTCCCACACAGTATGTACCTGAGACTTCCACACGGAATGTACCTAAGACTCCCACACAATATGTACCTGAGACTTCCACACAGTATGCACCTGAGACTCCCACACAGTATGTACCTGAGACTCCCACACAGTATGTACCTGAGACTCCCACACAGTATGTACCTGAGACTCCCACACAGTATGTACCTGAGACCCCCACACAATATGTACCTGAGACTCCCACACAGTATGTACCTGAGACTTCCACACAGAATGTTCCTAAGAATCCCACACAATATGTACCTGAGACTCCCACACAGTATGTACCTGAGACTCCAATACAATATGTACCTGAGACCCACACATTATGTACCTGAGACTCCCACACAGTATGTACCTAAGATTCCCACACAGTATGTACATGAGACTCCCACACGGTATGTACGTGAGACTCCCACACAATAGGTACCTGAGACTACCACACAGTATGTACCCGAGACTCCCACACAGTATGTACCTGAGACTTCCACACAGAATGTTCCTAAGAACCCCACACGGTATGTACCTGAGTCTCACACACAGTATGTACCTGAGACTTCCACACAGAATGTTCCTAAGAACCCCACACAGTATGTACCTGAGACTACCACACAGTATGTACCTGAGACTCCCACACAGTATGTACCTGAGACTTCCACACAGAATGTTCCTAAGAATCCCACACAGTATGTACCTGAGACTCCCACACAGTATGTACCTGAGACTCCCACACAGTATGTACCTAAGATTCCCACACAGTATGTACATGAGACTCCCACACGGTATGTACCTGAGACTCCCACACAATAGGTACCTGAGACTACCACACAGTATGTACCCGAGACTCATACATAATATTTACCTGAGAGCTCCACGCAGTATGTACCTGAGACTCCCACACAGTATGTACCTGAGTCTCACACACAGTATGAACCTGAGACCCCCAAACAGTATGTACCTGAGACTCCCATACAATATGTACCTAAGACTCCCACACAGTATGTACCTGAGTCTCCCATACAGTATGTACCTGAGACTCCCACACAGTATGTACCTGAGACTCCCACACAGTATGTACCTGAGACTTCCACACAGAATGTTCCTAAGAATCCCACACAATATGTACCTGAGACTCCCACACAGTATGTACCTGAGACTCCAATACAATATGTACCTGAGACCCACACACAGTATGTACCTGAGACTCCCACACAGTATGTACCTGAGACTCCCACACAGCATGTACTCGAGACTCCCACACATTATGTACCAGAGACTCCCACACAGTATGTACCTGATAGTCCCATACAATATGTACCTGAGACTCCCATACAGTATGTACCTGATACTCCCACATAGTATGTTCCTGAGACCCGTACACAGTATGTACCCGAGACTCACACACACTCTGTACCTGATACTCCCACACAATATGTACCTGAGAACTCCAGGCAGTATGTACCTGAGTCTCCCGCACAGTAATACCTGAGACTCCCACACAGTATGTACCTGAGATTCCCACACAGTATGTACATGATACTCCCATACAATATGTACCTGAGACTCCCACACAGTATGTACCTGATACTCCCACATAGTATGTACCTGAGATTCCCACACAGTATGTACATGATACTCCCATACAATATGTACCTGAGACTACCACACAGTATGTACCCGAGACTCCCACACAGTATGTACCCGAGACTCCCACACAGTATGTACCTGAGACTCCCACACAGCATGTACCTGAGACTCCCACACAGTATGTACCTGAGACTCACACACAATATGTACATGAGACTCACACACAATATGTACCTGAGACTCCCACACAATATGTACCTGAGACTCCCACACAGTATGTACCTGAGACTCACACACAGCATGTACCTGAGACTCCCACACAGTATGTACCTGAGACTTCCACGCAGTATGTACCTGAGTCTCCCAAACAGTAATACCTGAGACTCCCACACAATATGTACCTGAGACTCCCACACAGTATGGAGGACATGATGAGTCCCGGCAGCCCCGGCACACCTCCCAGGATGTCCATCACCAGCAGGGGAAGCAGCTGCAGAAACACATATTTGAAGCTTGTGATACTCAAACTTGGTGCCATCAGTAGCCTCATAGTACTTCCTGAATTCCTATCGAATGATGTCAGTGTCTTTTGTAGTGTGACAGTTTATCGTGAACAATCTAATTTTAAAGCAAATTTAAATTTCCATAATATTTAACCTCAAAAGTGTATGGGAAGATGCTCTCAACTATCTACGGGTGATATTGCTTTCAAACAGCGAAAATTTGTTTTTAGTTCGATACCAACACGAAATCGTGATTGTCCTACTTGCATGTCTTTGTCGATGATGTTGAAGCTGACGGGGTGACACTCGCTGTAGAAGGCGAACATAGCAACGCCAGTCATCACCAAAAGTGCATAGACTAACACAAGCCCCACGCTATTTATCGCCATAGCTCTGGAAGCGATGAACACGTGAATAATAAAATATTGCTATGACTAGTTTCAGCATAACATAATTTGACAACACAAAATAAATACCGTTTCCGACCTTTATTCGTCTCCATGGTGTCTTTGCAATCGCCGTTTTTTGAAGTCATGTACTGTTATTCATTAAGAAGTATAGCAGTTTCTTTTATCCGAATCATTTTTATTTGCAGGACTACGCCTTTTAGGTCTTAATACTGAATTATTACAATTAAACAACATGCTCATTTACACACGCGACATGTCAATGTATACAAACTGTATATTTGCGATGAAAGGTGTTTGCATTCAATATGATAGTGGCCATACGACTACCTACATCTGACCCGTTAAGGTATTGTTAGAGTGGATCTTCAGCAACTCATGCTGGTCGTAAGAGGCGTCACTTGGAATCGGGTTGTCTGTGTCGCAAGCTTGGTTGATGCATGTCATCGTATCCCAAATAAGTAGATCAATGTTCATGATGACAGTCACTAGATGTCTTGTCCAGACTCGATTATTTACAGACCGCCGTCATATAGCTTGAATATTGCACACAAAAACTTACATCTGAGCATATCCGAGACTGGAGCAGGACAGTGTCCTCTGTACCTCAGCTTGGTGTACTCCATACATTGCTGTCATCATGACGGTACCTCCGACCATGAAGGACCATACGGAGTACCTTGTTGACGGGTCCAGGCTAAACCTGACAACACGTTAGTTGGCTATCATTATCACTGTATGTGTTAGTGGATTATTTAGTTCCATCATATTTCTCTGCATTAAGTCTTTACTTTCTAAAACTGCATCGGAGTTTCAATCCCCTGGACTTTAAAAGATGCTACTTGTTACCCTGCCAGCTGGTTTGCAGTGAGTCAGTATACAGTTTCCGGCATATGATGAGTTGGCCAGGGGTGAAAAACAAAAGTTTCGTTTTCCTGTATACCCACAGCCTTTTCTATTGCACAAAGGCGATATCTGTACACAATTCCCTTGGGTAGTAAGCTTGCAGGTGTGTGCGTAAATTTTCAGGGGGTCCCAGTTGCAGAAAATGGAGGAAAAATACATAATTTGACATTTTACAACTAGCTGTAAGATATTTATGAAGTCGTCAACCTACGTCTTGGATTACAGATAATGTTCGGTTATATGAATTCGGCCTGAACCATTGTGCTACCCTATACAGAAAACAATGGGAACATATATTACATAACGACAGAAATACTGAAAACAACGCCACCCCATCCCCAAACAATTTTGATGAACATTGATTATTGAGAAATGGTTTTATTTTGTTTTGTTAATATTTTTGATGGTTGGGATAACTACAATAATGTTTTAAAACACCAAAATAGTAAGATCATAAAGAAAAATGAAGTTTCAAGTTTGCCTCCATTTCGACCAAGATCTAATACAGTAGTTCAATATGGTCATTTAATATATCATATGAAAACTTTTTACATGGCCTTTTCAGTGATGTACACTATTCACTGACTGATATACTTATCCTTAGCGATAAAACAAATGATATATTGAAAGCTATTTTCTCTAGCGACATCAATCTACCCCCAATGTCAGATTTCAATTAAAATAGACACACCCCAGCAGATACACACACAAGTCGCTATATAGGTGACATAATCGTGAGCGCGACGTTAAACACTATTTCAGCCCACCTCGAACATCACCGCAAGTGTTATTAGTTTTAGGCATATGTGAACCATTGTATATAATTGAAATAAATATTTTCCTGGCGAGAATGAAGTATTACCCTTTCCTATCTGCACCTAGTCAGTTAATCAGACTGACAGTCAACACCAGCTGACGTGTGAGAATATTGCATTTTCATTTATCATACGGGAAATTAAAGCTTTCACGTATATTGCATACGACTTTCATGTTGATATAATGCTTTTAACATCCCCAGGCATAAAAAAGTCAATAATAAAACGTGAATTCATATCCATGTTTTGTTAACACACGGGTCTCAATGCTTGAATGGACAGCTGGTCTTGTTTTAAATTGAACGACCGCGTAATATATCTAAAACCCTCAGGTTTTTACCCTTGACAACCTTTGTCACTGCACGGCATGGGGTTGACCATTGGTATTTTACCAAGATACAGGAAGTCATGATAGCTTTAAAAGGCAAAGTCTATACACAGTACGACTATTTCTCCAGCTATTAAATAGTTACGGTACCACAAGTATGCATACTCATCCAATTTAATCCTGGATCTGTTGTCGGCGATGGCCCATGCGCTTCTGAAACCCCCGACGGCTGCAGCAGACCGAACCATCAGGGTAGCAACCCCGACGACCATAACAACTGCCTGGAACGTGTCCGTCCACAACACAGCCTTCATTCCACCCTGTAGCATGCAGCGTGATCAGAGGCATGTATTTCACAACAGGTTGAACGTGTTTTTATTTTAGGAAGATGTAGCAAGAAGACGGAGCTATTCTTAATGTTTTATTCGTCTTTCTTGAATACTTTCTGGCCTCCATCACTTGATTGTCGTGTTTGTTAACAGGCCGTCGTCGCATGGCACGTATCCTGCTGTGCGGCGTCAGGCAACACACACTTACTTTTTATGCAGTTTGTGTGAATGGCGGGTGCAACCGACAGGTAAGAACCTGCTCACCTTTTTTGTGAACACCGAGTGTCATCACTGATTTTCATAACGATTCTGCCTTTTACGTCTGATAAAATCTGTCTCGGTGGATACTCGAGGCTTGTTATTTTCTTGCGTTGCGTTTTATCTTCAATATGTCCATACGTTTATTCTAGGAGTTTAAATATAATTATCTTCAATACTTACTGCCTAACTGACGATTGACATTTAAAAGTGAGTGAGTATGGTTTTACGCCGCTTTTAGCAATATTCCAGCAACATCACGGCGGGGGACACCAGAAATGGGCTTCACACATTGTACCCATGTCGGGAATCGAACCCGGGTCTTCGGCGTGACGAGCGAACGCTTTAACCACGAGGCTACCCGACCGCCCTGCATTTAAAAGTGTTGTGTACATTAGTTAAATCGGCCCAATGACGTTGTGTGTTTGTTCATTTGATTTGATGAGTAATATTTATTCATATATGGTCAATATATCTATTCTACTAGACTCACCAGTGCTGTACAGAGGGTGGTGACCGAGCCGAACACAAACACCAAAGCCCACACGTTGAGCCCGGTAACTGGAATATAATGATGTATTGTATATTATACAATATCAGGTAAAACATACATTTAAAAAATAAAATCACGCTTTGGGCCTTTTCCAAACCCCATGTCGAACAATTTGTGACTTGTATCAAGAACGTATTATATAAAATACATTAACATGATCTGTGTTAATACACGAACACTTTGAATGGTTATAAGTACAACATACCAACTAACGTACCTGAACTGACAGCCAGAGATGGGGCATAGAGTACCATAGCTGTATGGACCATCTGGAATAATAAAGAATGGGTGAGCTGGGTTTACACGTCCATGAACAATGTTTCAGCTTTACATCAGCCGACCTGCTTCGTGTTGGAAGACACTACATGGGACGAAGGCCCAACTCATTATGGTGAAACGTTCAAAAAGCATCGTACTGAAAAATATGGATATATATGTTGTAGAGAATTTGGGATTCGAATCCATATCATATGCGGATTCTTGCAGCTAAGGTGTGTGGAAGGGGCTTGAGGGCGAAGCTGCACTACAGATTTCGACTCATGGCAACTGAGCAGCTCGTAACCTTTCAACAACATGTGACCATGCATTGTTATATTTATCTGCTCAATAGATATAGACAAACGATAATTTGCGGCTAAGGTCTTCAGTCGTATTATTTTTTTCAACCGCTATGGAACATACTTAATCTGAATGATATATATATATATATTATACTTCTTGCCCAAGGGGGCGGTCGGGTAGCCTAGTGGTTAAGCGTTCGCTCGTCTCGCCGAAGACCCGGGTTTGATTCATGACATGGGTACAATGTATGAAGCCCATTTCTGATGTCCCCCTCCGTCATGTTGCTGGAATTTTGCCAGAAACGGCGTAAAACCATACTCACGCACTCAGTCACTCTTGCCATTAAGGATGAAATTTTGACATTACCGTTTGTACCAAGATAAGTGTTAAAGCCAGTTTTCGCACGGCTTTGTTGAACCTCATCTCAAGATACTGGAAGAAGAAATGAAGCACAACATATGATATCCTCCACTGTGTATCCCCTAGATAAAGATCAACAGATTTGTTGGATAATGAATTGCAAGAACAGCAAATGTTTTAGCCAAAACAGGTATTTAAATTCTATTTGCTGTTTCCTTTGCTCCATATTTGACATGCCTGTTTATACTTCACCTATATCAATTAGTCCTCCTGATTGAGGGGTGGTAGGGTAGTCTAGTGGTATCTATGTCATGTCGAATGCCTCGTTTGATTACCATCATTGATACAATGCGTGAAGCCCAATATTGGTGTCACCCGTCGTGATAGTTATCTAAGATGTGGTATTCCCAAAAGTGGCGTACATCCCTACTCACTCAGTTCACTGACACCAAACAATTATATCTAAATTTTAAAATCATTAAAAGTATTAATAAAAATGCTACCTTACTGGACTTATTGATAGCCACCGAGGCTTGACGAACTAAAGTGATAAATTATCATGGAATTTTCTTTCTGCACACGCCATGAGCACCACGTCTTCGGTAAATATCGATAGTGTCCCTTGTATGTGTGTATAGGTTACACAAAACCTACACAGAAGCCTTTTGTGAAATGTCGGCTCGATACCTAAATATATACCACATAGTTTCATACATACAAGCTATCAATTGTTACAATATATTGCTTGGAAACTCACCTTAAACACATTGTTAATATTAAGCTGATAAAAGAAGGGAATGAAGATCCTTCCAGCCACAAGGACTCCAGCAACGGCAGCTACCGGAAGCCAGATCATCATAGTGTTACTTCTATAAACCTCCACCGGCGCTCCTAGCAACGACAATGCCGAGATGAACGTCACCATCAGAGACATCGAGACGGGGATGTAGTGCATGTGACGTCCCCCTAACACGTACTCCGTCATCGTGCCGCGGTTACGGTCCTTGATGACGTAAAAGATCCCTACCGCGGCAGAAACGACCAACATGGCAGAGGTAACTCCATAGTCAGCTAACCCGAACGTCTTGATCTTCCCTGTCGTGATACTGTAGTCTCCTTGAACCTTCATCCCGTGATGCACTAACCTCTTAGACCTTGCGTAGATGATCAATCAAAGTGTTGAATAGGTCACAAGATATCTGTAAGACTTCTCAGAAACAAATGTCATCACTATTCTTCTTTTATCACAGAAACACAGAATTATTTGACATCTTGTGCCTTGAACCATAAAATAAGAATCCGTACAAATTCAAATCAAATTCAAAATTCAAATCCAGAATGTATACAATTGAATCAAATCGAGAAAGATGACAAGACCACACGTAACACACCCTCAAATGAAAAGCGTGTATGTATTTTATTAAACAGCCTGTTTGAATGTTACTCTAGTATTGAGGACAGTTTATTAATCATGCTATTAACTATTTTTCACACGTGTATTGGCTCAACGAAATGAATCACAAAAGCGTATTTTATTAATATTATTCAATATGGTTGCCATCTGTGACAACAAAAAATCCCTTTCTTTGTATGCAAAGTGTTCAATGGCCGCCGCCACCGGTAGGGCAGGGCATACGGACTCTCTTGGCGTACACCTGGTGTTTCCACTGATTTTCAGTGATCCATTCATATTGATTGTCACCACTATTTGCCTTTTATGTCCAATGAAAGTTGGTTATATGAGAGAGTACACATATCAGAGTGGGGAGAAGAAAATGTTACTGTGTTAGTTGGATTGGTTACTTCACACAACTAAACATAGAAACAGGAAATGATCTTGCCCTCAAATACATAAAGCAGTGTGTTTGTTATTCAGTGGTATCACATTGCCTTACGAATAATCACAGATGTAAGTTGATCTTATTAGGCTTGAAGTCGGAAACATGTGGAGTACACCAACTATCCGTAGTTTCACTCGATTCATAATACCCGTTTAATCATATTTAATCTCTTTTGAAGTATACGTAATAATCCACTCAAGTCTCCCACACATTATATTCCTGAGACTCACACACAATATGAACCTAAGACTCCCACACAGTATGTACCTGAGACTCCAACATAGTATGTACCTGAGACTCCCAAACAGTATGTACCTGAGACTCCCACACAGTATGTACCTGAGACTACCACACAGTATGTACCTGAGACTCCCACACAGTATGTACCTGAGACTCACACACATTATATACCTGAGACTCACACACAGTATGTACCTGAGACCCACACACAGTATGTACCTGAGACTCCCACACAATATGTACCTGAGACTCCCACAGACTCCCACACATTATGTACCTGAGACTCCCACACAGTATGTACCTGAGACTCCCACACAGTATGTACCTGAGACTCACACACAGTATGTACCTGAGACTCACACACAGTATGTACCTGAGACCCACGCAGTATGTACCTGAGACTCACACACAGTAATACCTGAGACTCCCACACAGTATGGAGGACATGATGAGTCCCGGCAGCCCCGGCACATCTCCCAGGATGTCCATCACCAGCAGGGGAAGCAGCTGCAGAAACACATATTTGAAGCTCGTGACACTCAAACTTGGTGCCATCAGTAGCCTCACAGTACTTCCTGAATTCCTATCTAAAGCTGTCAGTGTCTTTTGTAGTGTGACAGTCTATCGTGAACAATCTAATTTTAAAGCAAATTTAAATTTCCATAATATTTCACTTTAACCTCAAAGGTGTATAGGAAGATGCTCTCAACTATCTACGGGTGATATTGATTTCAAACAGCGAAGATTTGTTTTTAGTTCGATACCAACACGAAATCGTGATTGTCCTACTTGCATGTCTTTGTCGATGATGTTGAAGCTGACGGGGTGACAGTCGCTGTAGAAGGCGAACATAGCAACGCCAGTCATCACCAAAAGTGCATAGACTAACACAAGCCCCACGCTATTTATCGCCATAGCTCTGGAAGCGATGAACACGTGAATAATAAAATATTGCCATAACTAGTTTCAGCATAACATAATTTGACAACACAAAATAAATACCGTTTCCGACCTTTATTCGTCTACATGGTGTCTTTGCAATCGCCGTTTTTTGAAGTCATGTACTGTTATTCATTAAGAAGTATAGCAGTTTCTTTTATCCGATTCATTTTTATTTGCAGGACTACGCCTTTTAGGTCTTAATACTGAATTGTTACAATTAAACAACATGCTCATTTACACACGCGACATGTCCATGTATACAAACTGTATATTTGCGATGAAAGGTCTTTGCATTCAATATGATAGTGGCCATACGACTACCTACATCTGACCCGTTAAGGTATTGTTAGAGTGGATCTTCAGGAACTCATACTGGTCGTAAGAGGCGTCACTCGGAATCGGGTTGTATTATAACCCAGAGCTCATCTTGGCTCCAGGTGTGGTATAACCCAGAGATCACCTACCCAGTATTATGACCTAGAGCTTATCTAGGCTCCCAGTGTGGTATAACCCAGAGATCACCTACCCAGTATTATGACCTAGAGCTTATCTAGGCTCCCAGTGTGGTATAACCCAGAGATCACAAGGTAGACACAATTTTATTGATAACAACTTCTTTAATACTGTAAAAAGCGACGTTTCGGTATAGATCCTTGTACTGTTGTCAAGCAAGACTGAATGAGGGACTAAGTACAGAATATATATATATAGAAGTGGAGGAACAACGGTATAAGGATCTATACCGAAACGTCGCTTTTTACAGTATTACAGAAGTTGTTATCCATACAATTGTGTCTACCTTGTCATCCGTCAACTTCTAAGTAATGCCTATTAAACAATTTAACCCAGAGATCACCTACCCAGTATTGTGAAATAGAGCTTATCTAGGCTCCCAGAGTATAAACCGGAATTCATCTGCCCAGTATTATAACTTTACAATCATTTTAGGGTTAAGATCGTTTCGAAAATCTAGACCCTGCTGCATGTTGGAAGAAACTACATGTGACGAAGGTCCTTTACATTTGGGTGAAACGTACAAAATGCATAAAAACAATAAAACGAAGATATTTATTGTGGAGAATTTGGGATTCGAAATGGGACCCATATCATAAGCACTTTCTTGCAGCTAAAGGGATGGGGAAGGTGTGTGTGTGTGTGTGTGTGGGAGGGGGGGGGGGGGGGGGGGGGTCGGGGCGAGAGAAGCTGCACCACAAATTTCGACGTATGACATCACTGGACCACTGGTCCCGCTTCAGCGATAAGTGACCTGCATTGTTTTATTTATCTGCACAATAGATAACAGACACACGTTATTCGTTTGTGCTTACGGTGTTCATTCGTTTTAGTTTTAATTGATCCTTGAACCACTGTGGGCATACTCAAGATAAATTATATCAATATCAATTAACCAGAAAATTATTCAAAGACTATACATATACTCCCTGTCGTTAAGAAAGAAAGTTTGACATGACCGTTTGTATGAATGCAATTGCAATAACAGTTTTCGGACGGCTTTGTTGAACCTTATCTCAAGATACTGGAAGAAGAAATGAAACACATTGATATACTTCCTCCACTGTATATCCCCTAGATAAAGAAAAAACAGTTTTGTTGCATTCATGAATTGCAAGAATGACAAACTTAATAATAACTAAAGCAAGTAAAATATACATTCTTTCCTTTGCTTCATGTTTGACATGCATATTTTTGTTTTACACTCATCAGTTAACCATCCTGCTTGAAAGGTAGCCTACTGGTTAAAGGGTTTACACGTCACGCAGTAGGCCCAGGTCCTATTCCTCATGTGGGTACAATGTGTGAAGCCCATACCCTGTGTCCCCGTCATGATACTTCCCGAAATATTGCTAGAAGTGGCGTAAAATATTAATATAATAATTATACCTCACGACATAGAACCATCGGGTGGTGGGGTAGTCTTGTGGTAGAGGCGTCGTGCCGAATACCTGGTTTGCTTGTCTATTGATGAGAATACTACCTTACTGAAATTATTTATTCATAATTACTAAAAATGTCAACTGCACATAATGGAATTCTCAAGCTTTCTGCACTTGCCAGCAGCACGTCTTCTGTAGTGTCCTGTGTTTGTGTTGCAGAGATCGGTAACAATGCAGTCAACCGAGATCAGCTTACTTTTGGTCCTATTAGAAACATGCTTATCTGCCCTTGGTTTGCAAGCGCTAAGCCGTATATTTTTAGTCTAGTATCAGTTCCGCCGCGTACACGCCCCAGTCGTTTATAACAAAGGCATATTGTCACCGTTTGAATAACGCAGATAAGGGTGTTCAAGCATTGTTATCGTTCACCAAACCTTCTTCATGCGATATTTTAATCTTGAATATTTATCTTGTTTTATAAATATTGTATTTTAACTAATATACAGAAATATGTCTTTCTAACGTCATGTTAAACATGTGATTCAAAAGCAAAACCGTCCATCATATGCCAAACAGTTTTTTGGGGCTACCACTATGAATATGCTCTTAACTATTTCTTTACTTGCGCCAACTACACTGGCATTACATGATGACTGTGTAGCTCTCGGGATCATGATGATAAGAAATATTTTCAAAATTATTTCAAATGACATAGAAATGATATGTTGTAATTTTCATTTGTCATTTGTCGGGATGGTCAGTATATTGTTATTCGTTTCATTAATCCTACCTTACATAAACATGTTGGTTAATACATGAAGACTCATATTCATACTGGAATGTTGAATGAACCGATCCTCATGTGCGCATCACATGTGAAGTCATTGATCCCTGACTTGAGATGCACCATTTGTTTGGTGAAGTATTAGCCATAAAGTTTGGAAATCGCGTGCAGCATATCGTGATAAGAACAAAGGCACGCTGTGGTAACACTTGACTGATAGTTAGTTTTGTTCTTAAGTGGTACACATTGGAAACATCTCTTCTTAACGTACATACTTCTCTACATGTTTCTGTGGTGCGCGTTTCTTTTGACGGTGAGTATATATATACTAGCACCCTGAAACGTTGATAAAATGTTTGCTGTCTATAATAAAAAGGAGTCACGTTTTCATCATGTGTCATTTTTCCTTTCGAATATACGCGCCATAAGTGGAGAGGTGTCCGGGGAGACAACTCGGTCAGAATTTCGTTAGGGTTTCTGAGAGAATAGTTTACCAGGCACATCGTACTATAGCGCTAATTTGCCCGGGCTGCCGACTGTGGCTCTCGCTTCAGAGATTTCGCGTGCCTCTTCCATCCTCAGAGTTAGTTGTGTTGGGGTAGGGTATGGGATAGCTATCTATTTTAACGAATTAAGCCAATGTCATTTGAAGAAAGGCCGTACAATAATATATCAAGGTAAACAAGCATTGATTTGTTACAGAGGACTGATTAATTGTGATTGCGCTCGTGGTGCTGTGGTAAAGTTTTGACTTATTACAGTAACTCATTAGCCAAGCTTAGCTTCAAGCTTGCAACTTTGAGTTCGATCCTCCACGTTGTACGACGTGAAATACGAAAAAAGCGACGGATAAAGTCTACTACTCCTCAAAAAACCTACACGGAAGTTGTTGTTTTTTAAAAATGCCCACTCATATTACCCTTAATACGTTATACTAGATACTTTCATGTATTCCATCTATGTGAATTGTTACAATATATTGCTTGGAAACTCACCTTAAACACATTGTTAATATTAAGCTGATAAAAGAAGGGAATGAAGATCCTTCCAGCCACAAGGACTCCAGCAACGGCAGCTATTATTTATTAATAATGCTATTAACACTCTTTTCTGTGGTGCTAAAACAGGAAAAACACCCCGCGTCATTCAACCGTGTATTTGCTCAACGAAATGAATCACAGTGTTTATATTTGATTTGGATATGGTTGCGAACTATGGCAACATACAATCACTTATTTTTGTATGCAAATTGTGTGCGTGGCGGGTGCTACCGGTAGGGAAGAACATGCTTACCCTTTTCTCCCAAACCTGGTGTGGTCACTGATCTTCAGAAATATTTGTTCTTTATATTGTTTACGAAATTGAGGACACAGTCAACGGGAAAATGGCAACATATATTCTTTTTGAAGGACTGTTTTGATTATCTGGCAGAAAATAAATAACACATCAACTGATGGGATATCTGTAATATTGATTTTATTTTTTTGCGGCGAAGGCTTATCTCCCATCTGTCGAAAAGTGCATGCAGGTCAGTTAGTTGCTTAAAATAGTAGTGAGTGAGTGAGTTGGGTTTAACGCCGCTTTTAACAGTATTCCTGTTATATCGCCGCCTGTCAGCTTGATGTGGGAGGAAAGCCCGAAGTGATGTCTCAGACGTTTACCACTTCGGTGAAACCCATGAGCACAGGTATGGTGCTGACAAACCTAGAAACATAATCGAGGCTTCTGGCGTGCCAAAGGGACGCAACTCTGAACAGTGAATCGCGGCGCCTTAGACCTTGCCCCCCTTGTCCCCATCATGGTCTAGATGTACCCCAGCATCTTCATTAGAAAAATCAACAATAAATAAATAAACACTGGTAGAAATTATACAATGTTTATTCGGTATATATGCCATCCATCTATTATAGTTAATATAATACATTGCGATATTATAAAAGAAACACTTGTATCATGAACTGGTACGAAAATGACACAATGCTAATATAATAATTTAAAACAGTACCAACATTCACATTTTGGATGTATACACGATAAAGATACAAAGGATAAATGCTCAATTATTTCTAATGGGTTTGTTTTTCTATCCCAGTTTTCTTTAACATTAAGCTAAAATATAGGTCAAAACATTAATGACCGGCGTTATTATCTTCGAAGGCAACTGCTTGAGAATATACAGAATAGACCTTGTGGCAAATTCTGTACATATGTCTGTTGTCGACATGGCTGCAATACATGACTGTGGCTTTGACCTAATTGAACATCCTCCATATTCATCAGATTTGACTCCGTCAGATGTCCATATCTAACCCAACGTGAAGAAAGAACTGTCGCGCAAGCAAAGCATTATGCAAAGGATTATGACGTCATTTCTGCTGTGGAGAACGTTTACACCACCAGGAGGCCTTCAACAGAAGTGGCATCCAGGCAATCCAGTGTCTTTGGCATGAAGCGTCTGGCGTTCAGAGGGTATTATGTAATATTTATAATACTAATAATACTACTACTAATAATATTAATTGTAATAATAATAACAAGTTGTCCGACTCCCCATTGTTCTCGGTGCCTTAGGTTTGGTACCTCCCAATCTGTTGACTGACATTGGGAAAAGTTCTGGGTGGGTTTGACTAGGCAGCGCTTCCTGGGAGAAGTCCCATTCGCTGTCTGGGCTGCGTGTAGAGGGGGCAAGGGCCCTGAGCTAATGATGAGCCTAACCGGCCTGACTGTGCCAGGATCAACCAAACCCTCTTTGTTGCATTTTTTATTTTAATCTGTAAATAATAATACAATAGTAATAATATCGCAGAAGGCTCCGTAAAGTTCTGGGTGGGTTCGACTATGCTTCCTAGGAGAAGTCCCATTCGCTATCTAGGCTGCGTGTAGATGGGGCAAGGGCCCCAAGCTTATTAGCCTAACCAGCCTGACCGTGCCAGGATCATCCGAGCCCTCTTTGCAACATTTATATATTTTAATCTGTAAAATGAAATAATAATAATGAATAATAATCATGATCATATAGGCTCAGAAATTTTCAGCCTCCCTTGAAATTCGGTTTGTACCTTATACCCCGAAAACGTGCAAAATCATATTTAAGTCAATTCTTAAAAATAGATAAATCCACTGTCTGCTTATTTAATCATTAACACACAAAAGAACACGTAGACAAGAATACAACATCAGTGACATCGTTTAGTGCAATAATATAACACAAGCACGCCCACCCTATTATCAGCGAATCAGGAAACAGTAGTGTACCTGTCCTAATTTTTATCGGTTTATTGAAACACAAACACAAAACAAATTGCATGATTTTGCCATAGAATCACTTGCAATTTATTTATTTGAAACTCACACGTGAGTCATCTTGCAAAAACCAGCGGATCACGAAACAACTAAGATGACAACTACTCCACCTTCTACTGATGTGCATGAAGTATGGTCACGTACATCAATATCTTCAGCTAGACAAAAAATCCGTTTCTCACGAGAACATTAGATTGTATATCAAAAAGTAACATTATGTTCCTCCTTTCGAAACTGCAGTTACATGTATTTGTAGATTTGGCGCTTCTTCACAAACATGTGAACTCCGTGGTAACTAAGTTATTTGCACTCACGAACATCCCATATAGGATTTCTACAATCTTCTATTCCAAGTTGTCCCTTCAGTGTTGTCATCAGTGCTTTCTATCTTGTTAGTCAAAGGCAAAACATTGTCGCTCAGGTCCTCCACGTTTTCATCCTGATCATGATCAGTTGCAGCTTTTCTGTATTTCTAGAAACATCAATGAGTAATCTGTAAGATTAATCGTCACATAACAAAAGCGAACTACATATCTTTTGAATCAACATTCATTTAAGACTCTCGTTCAAGGTTCTTAATAGCTTGACTCACCCCTTTATGAACAATGCCAAATCGGAGAGGTTTGAGAACACGTTCCGGCAGGAAAGGGAAGAGCTTGTCAAACAATGGACAGATCAGACGTGGATCAAGGGTCTCGGGTTTCACCGGACCTATGGAGGATAATGTCATGTTGTGTTTAATGTACAGGTATGTGCTTGGGGAAATAACATTAGCATTCATTTGGTATTAACTGCTTATAGATATGCAAGAAGCGGCTTTAGATACAATGAAAACCTGTCGCCTTATTCCGAACAGCCCTTAATCAAAGTTTTGTTGATCTCCGATCCACGATGCAGGATGTCAGTTCATATGCCTTTCCTCTTAACATTCCGATGACCTTCCGAGGTAGAGGTGGTTCTCAATTTCTCATGCTGGCCACAGAAGTCGAACAACGTGGATCTAACTCTGTAACTTGGCTGATGGCTCGCGTTCGTACTTTCGTCATGATTTCAATCATTGGTATTCCCTTGTACAGACTCGATTATTTACAGGCAGTCGTATATAACTTCATGGAAAGGTAATGTAGTAGGCGTGTGGATGAATGATGTTTTGTTATTTACCTTATTCATACGCCGTGCAGCTATACTGTGACAGCCTGTAAGTAATTTTACCTGGACCAGAGAAGACGGGCAAAGATAATGTGGGCAAGGGTCAAGGAATATACGGTAATATGACTCAAAAAAAGTAAAAACAAGGTCACAACAAAAGTCTAATCACCGGACCAACGATTACGTTCGTTTTTAAGACAATCGTAGTATTTTGGCGATGTGGAGATATTCTGCAAATTACTCAAGACAAGGAGCGATTTATCAACCAGGGGGTGCATTTAGACATATACCTGTCAAGAAACTGACAATGGAGCCAACAGCGCAGACTACCAACAAAGCCACCAGTGAGTAGTAGAGGTAGGACAGGCGATACATCGGGTAGAAGGGGTCGCTGTAAACAAAACAAAAACCAGTATGAATATGAAGCATCTCAAGACGGGGGTAGAATAGGTCTTCAGCAACCCATGCTTGCCGTAAAAGGCGACTATGCTTGTCGTAAAAGGCGACTAACGGGATCGGGTGGTCAGGCTCGCTGACTTGGTTGATGCATGTCATCGATCCCAATTGCGTGGATCGATACTCGTGATCTCAATCACTGAATTGTCAGGTCCAGACTCGATTATTTACAGACCGCCGTCATATAGCTGGAATAATGCTGAGTGCGGCGTAAAACAACAAACCAACCATCGAGGCGAACTTCTGTGAACAGAAAGTCTACGACTCAATGAAAAAACACTTTACCAAGCGTCTCCAGTCCGTCTACTCATACTAATAATGCAATACAAAGCGTCTCCAGATGAAATTCCTTCTACTCATGTTAATAATTCAATAACAAGAATCTCCAGATGAAAGTTCCTATATTAATATCAATAATGCAATACCAAGTCTCTCCAGATGAAGGTCGGTCTCAACTCTGGATGAATGGTTTTGTTAAAGAAACTTACTCTGACTGCACACTTGACACATTCTTTGAATCATCTGCCGTCACGGCTGGGGTGACGTTATCAGAGGTGAAGGTAACGGTCCAGTTACAGCCGTGGGTCAAGAAAGTGGCTGCATGCGACGATGATCTGTGAACAAATGTTCCAAAAGAAAACCACGCTGTGACGAGGATTCCAGCGAAGTAACCACTTAAAGCTCCCTTCAGTGTAGAAAGGAAACAAAGAAAATGTTTCAGTACAAAATGAACAAATAAAATACACCCCTGAAAAAAAATAATATTTGATACAACAAGATAGAATTACATAAAGTATATCTAAGTATGTCTAAGTATGGAGTGATTGAGGTACGACGTTTCAAGTTGATGACATTTACCTCATTTGTGTATATATATATATATATAATTATTATTATTATTATTATTATTATTATTATTATAACGGTTCAGGCGATGGTGTAGCCTAGTGATTCAAGTTTTCGCTCGTCACGCCGACTGCCCGGGTTCGATTACTCTCAAGGGTACAATGTATGAAGCCAATTTCTGATGACCATCGTTGTCATATTGCTGGTATATTGCTAAAACCATAGTCTCTTACTCACTTATAACCTGCTTGGAATGATTTCGAATTATAGATAACATCATAGTATCAGGTTGGGTCATTTTTGAGCATGTCCAGTAATAAATATAAAATAAAATCCTGGCAAAAAATTTATTAATTTCACCTTTTTATTCGCCCATGGGCAAAACATTGCAAGACAAAATATGCCCACCATTGGTCCATGTAGCACTGGAAGTTTGCTCAATGTTCCCTGAAATATAAAACATACTCTGTTACGTACATGATAAGGTTGATGGGAACAGTATGGCATGTCACGATGTATATGACACAGTGTAAAAAAGACTTACCTGAAATAAGGCACCAAGTTGAGAGATGAAATATGATGCACAGATGACGGTTACTCCACCAACAAGCACTGAGTAAACAAATGGGAGAAATCGTTAACGTACAGAATAGATATATTGAAGCACGGGGTCGATTTATATAAATATTTTTGTTCAAGCAACATTATACACGTATCAGTCATTTAACACCTTGGCTCTGGGGGTTCCATACTAAGCACTGATCACGAACGCAGTTTTAAATTTGTGTTTACCCGCACCTGTATCAACTATACTTATTCAAGTTTGAAGAGGATGGCTGCAACTCTACCATTCATATCTATCTGAGTGAGCCTTCAATACATGTTGCTTCGAGTACAAACAAGTGAAGTGAGGCCTGATTGGTTGAAAGAATCTTTGGCAAAAATTATATGATTCCTATTCCAGTGTCGAGACCTTAACCTTCGAGCACAACTGTTTATTTCAGTGAATCAGAAAAACATTCTCACTCATGTTGCAAGCACATGGTTTCACCATTGTCATAAATTGACCTTAATGACGGAGCATTGCATGCCCCGATTTATATCACGGCCAAACTGACAGATAAAATCCAAGTCATACAATACCTGTACTCTTAGCCAGTCTGATTTCTCCTTTATCTGAGAGGTGCTTCAAACAGAATGGCTTAATAATATCACCAGAGACCACCGTTCCCAGAGCGTTCAAAACACTCGAAATCGTGCTGTTCGTGAAGAGAAGGATAGAAAGTCTATCTGTCAACGATCAGTCACTCATACATGTAGCTGTTATCATTTTCTCGAACGCTTTCGAGTGGACGTTTGTTTGAAATAGAAGTGTTGTTGACATAAAGCATGAAGCATAATACAGACACAATCCTTTGTACAAGGTAACCTTTCTTGGCGGCTTTCCCCATATGAACAAATCAACAAATATGAAGACATATACGAGAAGGTCATTTACATTTAATATTTCACTTCTATACTTCTTTATGCTTTTGTTTACTCCTGTATATGATTTGTCTCATTAATAAGGGTACTATAAAACTTTGTTTATGAAATGATGTGCACACTATTAGTTAATATTAGTCATGTTTGGTCTACTTGCACAGTCTGAGACACTCGTATGCCTTCACCTGAGACTCCCACACAATATGTACCTGAGACTCCCACACAGTATGGAGGATATTATGAGTCCTGGCAGCGCCGGCACATCTCCCAGGATGTCCATCACCATCAGGGGAAGCAGCTGCAGACATTCGTGTTTCAATCTAGATACTCTTCCTAATATGCATTTTTATTGATGACATATATATATATATACATAATCCATTTATCATATATCATATCTTATGCACAAATGTCAACATCGTATGATTCCCGGATAATGACTTAAGTATTAATGGACCTGACTAAGAATAACTGGAATGTATCTGAGCGCCCTATAATGTGTTCCAGCAATTACTTACATTAAACTAATTATTCCATAAAAGAGGTGGGACCTGTCTTACCTGGTCCTCCTTGTCGATGATGTTGAAGCTGACGGGGTGACAGTCGCTGTAGAAGGCGAACATGATAACACCCAGCATCACCAGCAGTACGTACACCAGGATGTAACCTACTGCGTTGATTCCAAGAGCTCTGAAAATCAGCAGAACTGCATATATTTGTTCGATATATTTGATTGATGGTATATGGAGGTTGCAAGGTAAATGTTCAGGTCATAAGTCGTTTTCGAGTGAAGAATTTTCAATTATACCTGTGTGACTTATCACCGTACTCATACATTCGTATGGTAGACTTATATGATGGGAATCAGTATGAACAGGAAATTGAGAATGTAGGTAGTGTACAAGCGGACCAATAAATTATCCTTGGAGTCTGAAACAACAGTTTTTAACCGCAACGGCATATGTGATAGCATGTTATATGCTAGGCCTAGGTCATAATTTCTTCTCCTGGAGAATGCTTGAAATGTAAATATTTAAAAAAAAGTTGATGTAAATAGTTGAATTTAGAAATTATACTTCAGAATTATCAAAGCATGATTTCCATTCGTGTGAACCATGGAACTAAAGCATGCTACATATACGCCGAAAGTCTAGGTCTTGATTTGTTCTCGATGAGAGTGCCTAAAATGTTAATAATGTACAAGGGGACATTTCCCAGGTAGTATCATTACACCGACCAATATGTCGGTGTCACCAACTGACTGTGTTGTACACAATAACGGTGACACGTGAATCTGAACGTTCCTCGTTATCCAAATCAATTTAACTGCAAGCTGAAAATCAATCGTTTATGCAGAGAGGCCAAAGGTAGAAAGTATGTGTTACTTAAAAGCAGCAATGATTTGCATTACAAATTGCTGTAATAATCAATTAAGGTTTTCCCTCTTTTATGATATAATTTCTAAACAACCAACCCGCATAACGTACAAAAAACAAACCACATACTATTTTACCGTGTTTTGACTTGACACAAATTCCTCGTGAATAAATATAAAATATTTAAAATACTCATTCTGTCATCCCGGCCATTGAGGGCTTATACACCTTATACAAATCACATGCTAGTACATTTGAATACACTTCAAATGGATAGATACAAAGCATACTCAACGTTGAAATATTGAACACAATTCTTTCGTAATACAAGTCTTTATGCCATTTTCTCAAGACTGAAATGAAAGCTAAAGACATGATCCATCATTCAATATTTTTGCAGTCGATATAAATAGATGTTGGAATTTCTCTTTAAATCATTCTAACATTTTACTAAAATGAGGCGCAAACAAAGTGTATACCGAGCTTGTTTTTAATGTAATCTGTCTATTTGACCATCAATCATTCCAACACTTTGTAAAACGTTATCTATGGCTGGGTAATTTTGTGTAAAGATAAATTGGTTCAAGAATGACTGGTGTAAGACATGAACTTAAAATCACATGTCCCCTGCCAAGATACCAATCAGTATTTTGTAAATGTTTTGAATCAAATTATATTTTTCAAAATATAACCATGTCGAAGTATGTCTTGGATGCTGATTAAGCGCCAACACAGACCAGTTTTTAATTTTAACATCGCTAACTTACGACATTTTCTACTGAAAATCAAATATTTGGTAAAATCAACCGAGAAATATCGTTTCTTTGTCCCTCACATAATGTGATAATGTCTACAAATTGAATAATCACCACTTATGTTATATCATTAACCATGAATGTTACATGCTGTAAAATCACGTATAGTATTGTTATTTTTTGTTCATAAAAAAAAATACGATTCTTATTTAAACAGAAATCTTTAATGGGCACAACCTAGCAGTTGGCGCCGAATAGCCTCGCTTGGTTGCCAGTATCGGCTCTTCACTAGGTTATTCCTGGTGTTCATCCCAATATTACTCAAACACCATTAGCACAACTTACATCTGAGCGTTTCTGAGAGTTGAACAAGACAATGCCCGCTGTACCTCCGATTGCTGAATTCCATATGCACCCATCCACATGGTCCCAAATCCAAAAAGATATGCCCACACTGAATACGTGGT